ATGGGGAGAGTTCCTGTAACCATCCCTTAATGGTAGCCGGAATGGGGCTTACAGAGACGGAAAAGCAGGCTCAAAGCCCTCCCCACTGGGAGCTTTACACATTCCCTGTTCAAGAGGTGAAACTGTGAGTCCTATCTTGGCATCTAAATTATCCAAGCTTCATTCTGAAACCCCCTCGAGCACAATTACAAACTCCTCCCGCCCCAGCCCCAGCCCCAGCCCCAGCCCCAGCATGGAGTAGCTGAATTCACCTGGAGCATGAACCAGAAACCCCAGCCTGGCGTGAGCCTCGCCACTCGGGAGGGTGGTAGAGCCATTTGCCAGTGTGCACTGAGGTTTCTCCATCTGTACAATGAAAACCATATGTCCGGCCTACCACACTGCGTTATTTTGAGAACCGAGTGTGAGAACATATGTGAAAGCCCTTTGAAAAATCGTAAAATTACTTATAAATATAAAATGCCATCAATAATAGCAGCACCACAGCCCATAAACTCCATCCCACACATTTATATTTGTGAGTACACAATTAGGAACAGTGGTAATTAATCAGAAACTATACTGTGAAGAATTATTTCCCTCTCCTGGCTTATCAAGTATGAAGTCAGTATAGTCATTACATATGTTGACCTTGAAGGCAGAAAGCAGAGTGCACATCTCTGCCACCAGCAGGGTGACCTTGGCAATTTTATTTACACACACACGGGTACTTCAATGAGTTTGTGGAAAAATGGAATTAAGTTTATTCTAGTGCAAAAAAAAAATTGAAATGCATGCATGGCTTTTTTATAATTAGTATATTCAGGAACTTTTTAAAAAATATTTATTTATGAGGCTGGCGCTGTGGCGCAGCGTGTGAACGCCCTGGCCTGCAGCACCGGCATCCCATATGGGCGCTGGTTCGAGACCCGGCTGCTCCTCTTCCGATCCAGCTCTCTGCTATGGCCTGGGATAGCAACAGAAGATGGCCCAAGGTCTTAGGCCCCTATACCCGTGTGGGAGACCCGGAAGAGGCTCTTGGCTCCTGGCTTCAGATCTGCGCAGCTCCAGCCGTTGCGGCCAATTGGGGAGTGAACCATTGGATGGAAGACTGCTTGCTCTGTCTCTCCTCTCTGTGTAACTCTGACTTTCAAATAAATAAATGTGGTTTTTTAAAAAGATTTTATTTATTTATTTGAGTGGCAGAATTACAGAGACGGAAGGAGAGACAGTGAACCATCTACTGGTTCACTCCCCAAATGGCTGCAATGGCTAGAGCTGGGCCGATCCAAAGCCAAGAGCCAGAAGCTTTTCCCAGTTTCCCATGATGGTGCAAGGGTCCAAGCACTTGGGCCATCTTCTACTGCTTTCCCAGGCTACAACAGAGAGCTAGATGGGAAGAAGAGCAGCCAGGACACGAACCAGCACCTATATGGGATGCTAGCGCCACAGGCGGAGGCTTAGCCCACTAAGACACAGCACAGGCCCCTTCAGGAACTTTTTGAAGACACCCCCCCCCCCACATGCATAATTTCAAAATTTTTTGCACCAAAATAAACTTATCTTTTAATTCAATTTTCTAAGAACTTCTGGAAGTACGTGTGTGTGTGTGTGTGTGTGTGCTCACAGAACTAGGATAAAAGATTTGTTGGAGGATTTGATGAGATAACACATGCAAATTGTTTGATAGAGTGCCTGGAATATAATAAATTCTGACTAAGCATTAGGTTTAAAATGTATCAGATATTTATTGAGCCCCTACAATGTGTCAAGCCTAGCTTGGGATACAAAATGAAATGATACAGTCTTTTGTTTCAAAAACCTAAGTCTGGTGAGAAAAACATACAGACCCATGAAAAACAAGAGGGTCACTACTCAAATGCAAAGGCAGATGAGAAAATGAATCCGTCTGGAAAAGACGCAGCCATCTTCTCAGAGGAAGAAGCATGTGGCTCCAAAGTTCTGAAGGGTAAGAGGAAGTCTGTGCAAACAAGGCTTGGCGCTCTGACTTCATCATTTGCCCACAGGCGTGAGATCCCTTGGAAAGCTGAAGTTCATGTTTATGCTTGTTGACCTGAACACTCCAGTGACTTCACTGAGCGGGGTGTCAGAGACTGATTTCACCTGCTCTTTCCTACGTGTGAAACATGTGTTGTTTTATTTTCATTTTACAAAGACTCCTTAAGAGTTGTACAAAAACTTCTGTGTAAAGGATAGATTGGTTCCACCACTTAAAAGGCTTAGCATTCTTGGTACAAGTTGTTGATCCCTTTAAAGAGTGGGGAGGCCCTGGAACCTCTGAGTCTGGCAAAGCTGGAGCTGGGAAGGGAATAGAAAGTGGAATGCAGAAAGATTTGTTCTGGAAAGAAGGAACGTTCACAGATGGCTATTTTTGATCTACATATAAATGCAAAACTATAGAAAGCTTTGCATTTGCCAGATACGTTAGCACCAAACTGAAGTGTCTGTCTCATTCTACAGGTATGCAAGAGGTAAACTGGAAGGCTAGAGATGGTGCCCTAATGGGCTGAAATTTCAGACATTTCTTTGGGCTTGCTGCTTCCTTAATAGCTAAATTCCTCATGTTAACAATATGTAAGAAGATGTCAAAAGCTGTGTTCACCCAAAAAGATCACAACTTAATAAAAGGAAAACAATCTTTCAGACCTAAAACACATTCTCAGACTCAATAATTAAAAACAAATTGAAATAAACAAAAAGAGCTGTGTTCACTATTGTTGCTATACCAGGAACCACCATTTAGAGTTAACGTAATTGGTAATGGAAATCACCTGCTACGTTATAGACGTCAGAATCAGGAATTTAGATCTAGAAGAGCCTTAAAGAGCTGGTAATCCAGCCTCCTCCTCATTTCACAGATGAGAGGACAGTGGCCCAAAGAGGCAGAGCCCCGTGGTCCCACACAAACGCCAGGTGTGGGGCTGTGGTCAGCATTTGAAGATATGAAGAGAACGGGGTGTGTGTGTGTGTGTGTGTGTGTGTGTGTGAGACACAGTCCAAAGCAGAGGAAAACTCCTCTCCCAAGCGAAGCGAAGCCAGTCACACTGAAACTACTGTATGAGGGCACCTCAGAAAAGATCACGGAAAAGAAAATGGAATGAAAAGATAAGCTTAGAAAGGGCATTTGGCCTATCTTTTAAAATGCTGGTTAAGATGCTTCCACTGGAGTGCCTGGATCCAATGCCCAGCTCTGGCTCCTGACGCCAGCTTCCTGCTAGTGCAGACCCTGGGAGGCAGTGGTGTTGGCTCAAGGTTCCTGCCCTGGACGTGAGTGCCCTGGATTGAGTTCATGACTCCTGGCCAGGCTGGGCTATTGCAGGCCTTTGAGGAGAGGGCCAGTGGGTAGGAGGTCAAATAAATACATAAATACCTAAAATCAAGCTAAGGTTACTTTGGTGCCAAAAAAAAAAAAAAAAAAAAAATCCACGCTTGATTTTTTTCACAATACACATTTTTCCATAAACCTTTTGAAGATCCCTCCTCTTGGTCCACATGATTGGTGCTGAGTGAAAATGAGAGAGATTCCAATCCATTCAAGTTTAGGGCATGTAGCCCAAGAACTTTTAAATAAGGACACGTCGTCAACAACGGCAAAACAGTCACCAAGACTCTGGACAGTGTCTTGACCCAAACCCAAGGGCATCACAGGAAGCCTGCAGGCCCTTCGCGTGGACGGAGAGGAGCAGCTGGAGCTCAATACTGAGAGACTGCCCAGCAGTTGGCGGGACGTGGGACAGACAGACAGACACCTCTGTTGTGTAGAAAAACTGCTTCCTGACGTTTGGAGACGAAAGGTCAGAGGTGGCTCTAAGCCCGTCGGCCCGCGCCTTCCTTCCCCACAAAGGTGGTGCCCACCGCGCCCCTCGCACGCGGCACTCCCGGCCCGGACGTCGGCACCGAGCGCGTGCTCCTACCTGGCTTTCTCCGGCGCTCCTCGCCCGGGGCCGGGCAGGGCGGCGGGGCCGCGGGGGCGGGGGAGGTGTCCGCGGTGACGGAACAGAGGCCGGGAGAGCCTCGGCCCTTCCCGCCACTACCTGGGCCCCGCGGCCGCGCGGGAGACGGCGGCGGCAGCAGCCACTCGCCCGGGCCGCAGCGTTCGCGGACTCGGAACCCGCTCGGCTGTGCGCGCCTCGGCACCGGCCGGGGCAGCTGCTCCCGGGGGGCCGAGCCGCCGCCCACCCGCCGGCCGGCCGGGGGAATCCGGGGAACCCTCGGGGCCCAGGGGCGGCGGCGGCCAGACCCCGCCCCGCCCGGCCGGCCCGCGCCTATCGCGGCCGCCCGGCCTGGTCACGCGGAGAGCCGCGCTGCGGGCTCCGGGCCAGCGCCCGGCGGCTGCCGGAGTCGCGGCGGGCTGGGGCTGGGGCTGGGGCTGGGGCTGAGGCGAGGGCGGAGGGGAGAGAGAGGGACGGGCGGGCCGCGCCAGTCCCAGAGCCGCGCGCAGCCGACCCGAGCCACGCCGAGCGGCGCCGCTCCAGGCGGCCGGACCCCGCGCACCCATGCTGCTGACGCTGGCCTGGGGCTCGCTCTTCTTCCCCGGGCTCTTCGCGTTCTGCACCTGGGCGCTGCGCCGCTCGCGGCCCGAATGGACCGACATCGACTGCGTGATGATCAGCACCAGGTACCGAGCGCGGCGGGCGGCCCGCGAGGGCCAGGGCGCTGCCCACCCCACCAGCCGTGCGCGCCTGCCCAGCGCCCGGCCCCGCGCCGCTGCGGGCGGAAAAGGGGGGCGACAGGAAGCGAGGGGGCCGCCTCCCTGGCCTCCTTGCTCCTCTCTGTCCCGCCTGCCAGAGCTTCCCAAAGACCCTGTGGGTCCTGCCCTGGGGGGCCTGGGGGCGCCCACACTAGGCGGGGTAGGAGGCGCGCATCTCTCGGAGCCACTGCCCACCTCGCCGCCCTGGCATCCGGGGTGGGGGAAAGGCAGACCCAGGAGTTTGGCTCCGTGCTGCCCACCGCACTGGACCGAGGGCGCCTTCTTTCATTTTCCTTCTCTCCCTCCTTAGGCTGGTTTCTTCGGTGCAGGCTGTGCTGGCCACTGGCTCCGGCATCGTAGTCATCCGCTCCTGCAACAACGTGATCAGCGACAGGTAACACCGCGTCCGGGGCTGGGGCGCTTTCCGGTCTCCACGTGTTAGCGGCTCACAGGCGCTGGATCTCGACCAGCGCAGGCTGGTGGTCACGGACTAGAGTGAAAACGTGGGCACCAGAATCAGTGTCTGCTGCTCTCCTTCCTTCAGCATCCCCAGCCTACGGGAGCCCGGGAGGCTGTCAGGTGCGAGGTGGCCGCGTGGGTCCGGGTCTTCATGCCTGGGAGCACTGTTTGCAGTGGGAGTAAGGCTTCGAGTTCTTGCAGATGATCCCATTGCGGTCCCACTCTGGAGCATTCAGGGGCCAGGGTACGCCCAGTGCAAGCAGCAGAGCCCTGGCCTTGAGAGGAGCAGACCCGCCACCTCCTTCCTTGCAAATGCTGCTCTTGTTTTTCCTCTGGATTTGCTTAAGATGAGGAAGAGGTTTCTGGGGCTTGCAGAAAATGGACTTGCATATGTGCTGGAGCCCAGTCCAGCGGCAGGTCAGGAAGCATGCATCTGTCTGCAGTTTGAGTCCAACAAGCCATAAATTAAGGCCAGAATGGTCTATTTTATATGGTATTTAGAACGGAGCAGTGTACCGCTTCTACTTATTTTTAAGCCATTTTTTTCACCTGTTGTCTTAGGAAAACAGTTGCTTTTCACTGGTACACTGAAGCGTGGCCGTCAGATGTGCAGGGGCGCTTGGCCGGCCTTTCCTCATCCTTCCCCTGGTCAGACCGTGCCAGGTGTTGCTCCTTGCATTCCCGAGACTGGGGTGCAAGGGGAGCCTGGTTGAGCATCTGTCTCCCGGGGGGCCTGCAGTCGTGCTTGGCCATGATCCTGCTGTCTTCATTTTCTTTTTAAGCAAAACCAGTTATTGGTGATGAACTGTAGATGGTAAGTGAAGCTAGAACAAGCGACTTTGTATAGCACCAAAAGGCTTGCTCTGCTGGGTTCGGTTTTTACTGTAATTCAGTATTTTCCCATCTCATGCAGCAAACTCCCTCACTGACCCCAGACTGTCAGATCAAACTTGAAACCAGCCTCGTCTGCAAAGATTAAACCAAGGCAGGGGCATTCCTGCTGCATTCGTGTGAGTTAGCATGGTGGGCCGGCGGCAAGCAGCCCTGTGCATTTAAGGAACAGATTCTCGCCCATGACTACTGAGTTCCATGGCACCGCTGTTTGCCCTCAGAACCTGTGTGCTTTTGTGGCTTGAGCATGGTAGCAAGCCTGCTTGGTTTTAGGTTCCTCCTTTTATGTATCTTTATGCCTTAGAGTCCCCCCCCCAAAAAAAAAAATGGAAAGAGACACCGCATTTCTGTGCCATCCTCCTGAGTGAGGACAACCAGGGATGCTCTAGGCCCCTCCATCGCCTCACAGGGCTCCTGTAGTGGACAGCAAATCTTTTGTTGTTACACACCTACACTCACCCTCTGCCTTCATACAGAATGTCTAAGGACAGGAAGGGTATCGAGAAATCCTCCAAATCTTCTGCACGGTATAGTATGGGGCCAAGGATTTAATCTGATTCTTAAAGCAGTAGAGACCCTTGAAGAGGACTAAGTCACAAATGTAAGTTTTGTCAATTTAAGCACTTTTATTTGGATACTATATTTTTACATTTTCATACTTTGAGTTTAATCCTCACAGTAACTGTCAGAGAAGTTAGATGGGGATTACCATCTTCATTTTACAAAGACAGTAAATCACAGGCTAGTGGTGCCTAAGATTATAATCCAGATCTCATGCTAATAAGTCTTAAGAGAATTCTTCCTGCCTAAGAGTCAAAATTTCAGTTCTCACTAAATTGGTACTGTGTGCAGAATATTAGACCCTATGTGATACTCAGGGGAGGGGCCACTTGCGTTTTAGCCAAGCAGTAGTAGCTCTTTATACTTATGTTACTTGGGATTACTTCAGGAAAGCAGCTGATGGGCTGGCGCCGTGGCTCACTAGGCTAATCCTCTGCCTTGCGGCGCCGGCACACTGGGTTCTAGTCCCGGTTGGGGCGCCAGATTCTGTCCCAGTTGTCCCTCTTCCAGGCCAGCTCTCTGCTGTGGCCCAGGAGTGCAGTGGAGGATGGCCCAAGTGCTTGGGCCCTGCACCCCATGGGAGACCAGGAGAAGCACCTGGCTCCTGCCTTCTGATCAGCGCAGTGCGCCAGCCGCAGCACGCCAGCCGTGGCAGCCATTGGAGGGTGAACCAATGGCAAAGGAAGACCTTTCTCTCTGTCTCTCTCTCACTGTCCACTCTGCCTTTCAAAAAAAAAAAAGAGAGAGAGAGAGAGAGAGAGAAAGCAGCTGAGGGGCAAGCAGTTGGCATAGCAGTTGAAATGTCATTTGGGGCACCCACATCTCATACCGGAGTGCCTGGGTTCAAGTCCTGGCTCTGCTTCCAGACTAGCTTCCTGCTAATATGTACCACTGGGGATGCCAAATGATGGCTTGAGAGTAGTTGGGTCCCTGCCACCTACATGAGAGACCTGGGATGAGTCCCAGCCTCCCAGTCTGGCCTGGTACCCACCTGGCTGTTGTGAGCACTGGGGAGTGAACCTGTGGATGGAAGATCAATATCTGTCTCTCTCTCCTCTCCACACGTTTCAAATAATCTTTTTTTAAAAAAAGCAACTGAGACTATTGATAGACAGACTAATTATTGCATTTTTTTGCCTACATGGAACCTAATTAATTTTCCTACAAGTGTACTATATTTGCCATTACAATTTGTTTCCCTTTATTTCATTGTTAATTCACTAGCTATGTCGTGGTACCTGTGAGGTCATTCAGAAAGAGAGACTTGAATGGCACCCTCTGTAGCGTAAATTAGCGGTGTTGCAGGTCAGTGGGCTGGCACCTTAGGAAGTCACCCCTGAGACCAAGTGAAAATACAGGTGTGCGAGCCCTGGGCACACACTGTAGAATCTCTGGGGAGTGGAGCCTTTAACTAGCACTGCAGAGGGAATCTGATGTTCAGGTTAGTCTAAGAGCCATCAGATCATTTCTGCTAACACACGGAGGCGTAATTAAAATGTGCTGACTCAGCGAATCCAATCTGTCCCATCATGGCACATTATTTCTGTTTAGATTTTTTTTCTACATGCAATTTCTGTAGAATGCGTAATTATCACTGGGAACAACACTGTGGTTGCTGTCGAGACTCCTTGCTGTCTGCTCTGGGATACCAAGAGACTATCAGTTGGACTCCGCGAGTATTGATTCCTGCCTGGGATGGGTACACGGGAACCCCTGTATCTGTTGCAGGCTCTGCTGGTATCTAACTGCTGGTGTGTGGTGCTTGAGCTCCAGGGCCACGCCAGACTTGCTTTTCTTAACGAGCAGAAGTGGGATCAGCTATGGAACTGGAAAGAGAATGGCCAGCCTGGCTCCCAGAAGCTCCCGGAGGGGCATTGCCAGCAGTTGCAGGAGACTCGTGGGTTCGGAGTTTAAATCAGCAAACTACTCCCAACTCTTGAGCAACCAAGGAGTTAAACTGGAACGATTAGATCTGGGACTTGGGGCACCTTCCAAACCAGTTTCTTGGTGGGGCTGTTGAATCATTTGTAAGTCAGTTTGTGCCACAAAATGCCAGAAAGCCATTACAAACGAGCAGAGCAGCTCCATCAGGCAGGTGGCGAAGCTGCTTTAGCGCCCAGGGCGGAGTGGGTACCCACCTTTTGCCTCCGGCAGGCATGAGTCTGCCGTGTGATGTGGAGGACGTGGCCCACTCTCCTTACTTGCCAGTTTCAGCGCCGTCATTGTAAAGCGCCCAGAATCATAGCCGCTCAGTCAGCACAGCACGGAAGGGAGCGTGTCTGAGGAGGTGGCTTTGCGCCTTCACGCCCGACATCGTGATCATTCTTGGACCATTCCTATGCTTTCTTTCAGGCACTGGCTTGCCCGAGAGTACGTCTGGTTTTTAATTCCGTACATGATCTATGACACTTATGCAATGTACCTCTGTGAATGGTACCGGGCCAGAGACCAGAACCGTGGACACGCCACCACCTTCCGAAACTTCCTCAGTCAGAACCGCCTCATGATCACGCACCATGCAGTCATTCTGTTTGTCCTCGTGCCGGTCGCACAGGTACAGCCCTCCCGGACAGCCACCGGGCAGCCCTGGTGTCCCCGTCTCCTCCTTGAACGGCACCCCTCCTCTGTGCCAGCTGCTTGCAAGCAGTGGAGGAAAATCATGAAATCTGGAAACGTTCCCGAGCCTCGTTACCAACTGAATCGTTCTAGCAGTCCCCTAGGCCTCTGTGATTCCTCAGCAGTCGTCAGAGGTTCTGTCCATCAGACGTAAAGACGATAGGAAATACAGAGAGAGAAAGACAGTGCCCCACTAGCGACGGGGCACTGAATGCCTCGTTCTCATGTCACAACATGTCACTCAGAGCAGACAGCCACATCCATCTTCCCCACGAACACCTACCCAGCACGGAAGAGAAACAGAAATGCAGAGAAACTTACAGTCCTGAGCGCCTGCGAAGTGGCAGGCACTTGAGAGCTCCTAGCCCTATCCCGTGGGTGAAGAGTCTGGGCCTCTAAGAGTTGACTTCTGTCACTCAGTGGTGCTAAGTGACAGCTAGTACCTACTAGGCCCCACTGCTTGCTTGGAAAAAGAACAAGCAAAGGCTGTTAGATTCTGCAAGAGGCCGCTCTAGACTGTTCTGGGACCCTCCCACCTAACACACGGGCTGGACAGGCTAAGTGCCCTTGGCGTGGCTAGGTCAGACACAGGTAGGCTACACATTTCCTTCTGGCTGTCACTGAAATTCAGAGAAAGCTTGGCGTGTGATGCCGTCAGCCCCTGGATCTCGGGGAGGCAGCCGTCCCAGCGCTGGAAGTAGCGGAGCAGTCACGGGCTGTGCTCGCGCTCGGTATCTTCCCTTCCCTTCCCTTCCCGGTCTCGTGGTCACGTCACAGGGCCCCCACTGGGAGTGGCCTTCTGGTGGATCCATGCCCTCTACTCCTTCCTTCTCCTGCAGAGGCTCCGGGGACACCTCGGCGATTTCTTCGTTGGCTGCATCTTCACGGCAGAACTGAGCACTCCGTTTGTGTCGCTGGGCAGAATTCTGATTCAGGCATGTATGAAAGCAGTGGGAGGCAGTGGAGCCCGCTTTTCCCACAGGGTTTGGGGGACAGTGGGATCGGAGGCCCCGCAGCAGCCCTCACTGTCAGTCAGTCCTCCCGGCCAGGGCGGATTTGTAGCTTCTTTTTATATATATTCCCCCTGGCCACAGAGGTCCTCTAGTCCACTCTTCTGCCCTCCTGTCACCTGGGTGGCCCAGGCCAAGCTCAAGGCCACCATTGGAAGCTCTAGGAGGCTGCATGCATATATAACCGTGACAGCACTCAGACCACCTTTTCTACACCTCTGAGAAACCAGACACATGCCTTGGTGTCAGGGAAGCGGACGGCCTAGGTCCGGGTCAGTCCCCACGCCTGCTTGGCCTTTCCTGCCGTGGGACCCGGGCTGGGGATTGCCTGACGCCCGAACCTTGTGGTGACCTTGCATTCTCTTTCCCCTTCTGCAGCTAAAGCAGCAGCACACCCTTCTGTACAAGGTGAATGGAATCCTCACGCTAGCCACCTTCCTATCCTGCCGGATCCTCCTTTTCCCCTTCATGTACTGGGCCTACGGCCAACAGCAGGGGCTGAGCCTGATCCAAGTGCCATTCAACATCCCTTTCTATTGCAACGTGGCCAACGCCTTCCTCATCGCTCCCCAGATCTACTGGTTCTCTCTGCTGTGCAAGAAAGCAGCTCGGCTCTTTGACGTTCCCGAGGTCAAAAAGGAGGGGTAACCGCTCCTGGGGCTCAGGCAGGGAGGCTGCCTCCTCACAGGAGCCGCATCCTGCGCTCAGCATTCTGTGGACCAAATCCTCGCCCTGGGTGGCCTCAGCCTTTATGTATTGATAAGCAGATGGATTTGAGTTTTTCTAAAGAATATTCATATTGCCTCCCTCTTCTAACCTGCCCTTTTTGCAAAAGCACTTTTTCTTAACCATTCGATCCCGTCAGACCTCCACTGGCAGCAAGGTGGTTTTACTGCGAGCCTAAGGATGCTTCCTTGGGTCTTATCTCAAGAGCTCTGGGAGGTGGAAGCCCGGGGTGTGGAGACCAGTGGACCAGGGTGATAAGTGTCTGGGCGCCTGCCTGGCCCAAATGTTGGCGGCTGCCCACCCTTCCAGCCACTCAGGACAACATCCACTGCACTGGGCCAGCGGAGCAGACGACGACTTGGTTCTTGAAGTAATGTCTGCTTGCAGTGTAGGCCTGGGAAAATCACTGTGGGTAGAGAGTTTTCAAAGTGTTTACCCGGTAACCCGTTGGTTCTTTGCCTCACCCTCACTGCTGTGTCTACTGACTTCCAGTCAGAAGTCTCCCTGGCAGTGAGGCGCGGGGATGGGACCCTGAAGTACTTGAGTAGGCAGGAGGCCAAGAGGTCAGCACGACCTTCGCAGGCGGACTTGGTAGAAGACCAGCATCAAGCCCGAGTTTGCTGCAGTCACAGACACTATTCCCCTCTTAGCATGTCCCCTCATGCCCAGCTCTCCCCACATCCACACGCAGCGGATGCGTCCCCGACAGCTACGGGCAAACTACTCACTGGGTGATCCCGCTCTGGGCACTGTTGGAAGTGGACTTTTATGCTCCCAGCCATGAGGTGGCTCATCTAGACTGCAGGGTACTCCCCACAGAGCCCCTGGGCAAGCCAGAGCTCGTGGTCCAAAGCCCATTCCCTTGTTGAGCGTACTGCTGTTTAACCACAGGATGCTGGAGAGAGGGCAGCCTGTCTGGCCTAGTACGTCCCATGTGCTGACACCTTCACCCCATATGCAAACAGGATCCTCTGGTGCCAACACTAATCATTCCTTATCAACTAGGAGGGGTCTGAGACTGTGCTACCAGTTTTTCAAGTGGTAGTGAAAAACTAGAATTCTAGAAGTGCCTTCAACTCTTAAAAGGATGGAATGTCATGTAACAGCATCTGAAATTCTGACTGGTCGTCTTTAATGGGTGCCATTTACAAAATGTAAGATGCTACAATTTTTTATACTGTTTTATTTACTGTATCTATCTGTGTAAGTCATCCCTGTGGTGATTAAATTGCACTAATGTTTCCCAACTTACTCTCGCTTGCGAAATCCTTCGTTACCGATGTCCTGGGAGCAGCAATCCTTTGACCCAGTTTGATTGGCTGCACTGTGCTGTGTGCTGACGGCAGCAGGTGCGCCAGTGCTGAGCTGCAGGAGGACCCAGCCCACGTTACCCCAGCATGTTCCTGTGATTCAACACCCCGCGAATACAGTCTCCTGGAGTCCACGCTGAGTGGTCTCCTGTAACTTTAGGCCCTTCTCTTCATGGGTGAGTCCCACTGGAGCTGAGGGTGGAAGCCTAATTGTTGGTCACAGAGCAGGGGCTGGGGAACTGACCTGAGAAATGCCAATTTTGAATGAAGGTATGGACAGGCAGGTGATAGGACATGACCTTTTCCCTCTGTCTCCGGAAATAAACATCTCCTCAGCCAGCTGTTGCCCGTCCTGTAATAATACCCTGGACACCTTCAATTCTCATATTTACGCTCCTGGACACACTATTCTCTGCTCCCACTCATTCATCAAAACCGTGACAACCCCACCCCAGCCAGAAGATAATCACCCCTGTCCTTTAAACACATCTCTGTTTTCCTGACCTAGTTTGAACACAGCCCCCTCTGGGTCCACCGAGGGAAGGCTCCAGGGCAGGCATCCACCCAGAAGGCACCCATTTCTGTGAGGCCATTAATCTGCCCCCTAACACTTCAAAGTGTTTATTGGTCCAATCCTCTCCTTTTACAATGGTGCAGGCCTCTTGGGTGCGTAAATTACACGGCCAGAGGCAGAGCCAGGGTAGACCAGACTTTTTTCCCAGGGGCTGCTCTGAGATACTTGGTGAAATTTACTAATGAAACGTCTCTTGCAGAGGGTCTCAGTGCGCAGAGCGCACACACACCCTGCAGTATTTTTCCCCACCTGGTTTCACCTGTGGGCCTGTTTGCCCAGTTCCTCCCAGCGGGACTTCATCTCGGAGTCTCTGCCTACAGCCGTGCATTCAATCCCTGCTGAGACAGACTCAGGCAAGACGAAACTTTAACAGAATTTTATTATAGTTTGTTACAAATAAGTATGAAACTATTTCCTTTACACCATTATTGCCATATACTTTTTAATCCTGTGTACAATTTCACGGAACTGCGAAGCCTTGCTTCTTGGCCACAGCCCCTAGAGAACCCCTGGGGCGGGCCCCAGCTCCTTCCTGCCTGCGAACGTCAGAAGCTGTTGATCTTCTGCAGCAGGGTCTGGCGCCGCTCCTCCGGGCTGATGTTCTCGGCGATGGACTTTAAGAAGCGCTGCTCATTCACCTTCTGTAACAGGGAGCTGATGGAAGGGTTGGTCTTGCTCAGGGTCTCATAGCAGGTGAGGATTTCCAAGGCCAGCACATACAGCGGTTCACAGACCTCTTGGTAGAGCATGGCCATGATGTGCAGAACATGACAGAACACCTGGGTATAAACAAACAGGGTTTCCTGGGTCAGGTCCTGCTCTTGGCCTTGGGCGCAAGGGCCAACTGACTGTATCAGCCTAACGGAGTCCAGGAGGTTGGTCACACTGCTGCACAGGAGTTTGACCACGTGGCTCCAGCCTTCCATAGGAAGCCAATTACGACAACTCTGGCTGCAGAGAAACTGGAAAGCTCTCAGGAAGAGCACAGAGAGTTGCAGCTCCTGGGCAAAAGGCTTCAGGTTGAGCAGGGGAACAAACTGAATGTACTCCAGGCTATAGGGGACATGGAGGAGCTGTTTCTCCAACAGCTTCCTGGTCAGCTGGTGAAGTCGCTGCCACTCCTGGGGGCTGCACCAAGGCATGACTTGCACCAGGGCCACCAGAAAGCCCTTGCTGAACAACCGGACCTCCTCAGGATTGCCCACGTCCACCACCAAGAGGGACAGCATCTGCTCCGAGACGCTGCTGGACACGTAGCTGCACTCCATCCAGGCCAGAAGCCCTGTGCCCGGCCCATACCCTGGGTGGGCCTGGGAGGTCCACTCAGACTCAGAAAGCTTACAGATCTCAAAGAGTGTGGTGGGCACCTCGCACTTGAAGTGGCCCTCAAAGAAGTGCTTGAGTCTCAGGCCCACTGTCCAGTCCAGCTGCTCCAGCTTCCGGTGGAGCCAGGACAGGGACTTGCCCCAGGTGTCTGGGGAGAAGGTGTCCGCGTTGGCCGACACAGTGTCACAGAGCAGCACCAGGAGACGGATCACCAGATCTTTCCCATCCAGGGAGAGGCAGCGCCTCTCTTTGGGCAGCTGCCAGTACTTGCTGAAGCTGTCCAGAAGCTGGCACAAGCTGAAGAGGAGGGGGAACGGGGAGCAGGTCTGGAGCCAGTAGTCCTCCAAGCACGCGCTGGCCTCGAGGGTCTGCAGGCAGATCTTCAGGCTGAGGTCCACCTCGTCCATGTCCAGCATCAGGAAGGGCAGCACAAACTCCTTCAGCACCTCGTCCGGCTCAAGAAGGGCGGCGACTGGGATCCCCGGGGGCCTCACAGGCCTCATCAGGCAGCTCAGCAGCTCCAGAAACTGCTTCTCCTCTCTGGGTGTTGAGAACTTGGTCCAGACAGTTTCTCGGAGGCACGACACCACGAAAGTGCTGGGTGAACGCGGCCCTTCCTCTTCCGTGAACCTGAGGGCGGGGAAGGCGGTGAGAATCTGAGCCAGGAATCTGTGGGTGCCCAGGTTGATCACGGCCATGCTGCACATCTTCTTCACTGTGACCTCCGGGTACAGCACCACCAGGCGGGCCACGGAAGCTACAGCCCTGGCCAAGCCCTGCTCCGAGGTGCCCTGGGTGAGCTGGTTAAAAGTCGTATTGAGGTCTTCCTGGAAACCCTCCAGGTAAGGCAAGAGCTTTTCAGAGAGGCCCTTGCGCCCCCAGGAATGCAGCACGCCCGACAGGACTTTGTTTTTATCTGGCAGTGAGAGGTCTGCGTAACATTCCAGGATCAAGTGGATCACCTGTTTCATCTGAGATTCAGGGATGATTCTGTTGCTCGCGGTGACTTCTACCACCGTTTCTAGCAGCCTTAAAATCAAGCCTGGCTCCCGGAAGAGAGCCCTGTTGTTGGCCAGGCAGGCTACCCACTCGTCTGAGAAGGCCCACTTCTTCTCCGCAGCGAAGACGTAGCACATCTCCATGTGGCGCTCCATCTTCTGCTCGATGATGGCCATGGCGATGGAGGCCATGATGGCCTCAGAGCCCTTGTCCTTTGGCACCCTGCTTGTCTTCCTCAGGAAGCCCTGGACACACTCCGCCAGCTCGGACACCACCCGCCTCTCCTCCAGGGACAGGCTGGTGGCGTCCAGGTAGAGCTTCAGGTTCTGGCTGAAGGACGTCAGACTGTCACACAGCCGGTAGCTGTCGTAATTCGTCCCCTGGCTGCTGTTGAGCATGGCCTGCAGCTCCTCCCCCCACTCCCGCAGCAGGCTGTGCATGAACTCAAACCCCAGGAAAATGGTCTCACTCGGCAGCTTGGCCAGGGAGGTCAGGCTGACATCCCGCTCCGCCTCCTTGACCTTCTCTACCAACGCCTGTTGGTGGTACGGGTTCTGCGTGTCCGAATTCCATACAGAGATCACCGTGGCCAGTTTGTCCAGGTACATGGTCGCAGACACTTCCTGGGGGTCGTCCTCCATCAGCGCAAACACGGTCAGCATGTCAGCCAGGTTGGCCAGCGCACAGCACTTCATCCCCAGGCCCAGGATCCTGTTCTGGATTTGCTTCAACCCATTGAGCAGCATGGCCAGCAAGGGCATGGTGGGACACACATCTGGGTCCGACTTAAACCTCTTTGGAGGGTGGGAGAACTCGTCTGCAGGGTGCAAGTACTTATGGGCCATGGTCCTAAACTGGGAGAGCAGGGGGTCCTGCTGAGGGCCCTTGTGCTTCATCATCTCCCACCAGACGTCGAGGAAGAAGGCCACATCCTTGGAAGAAGTGTCAATGGCCATGTGCTCCAGGAAGCGCTCCAGTTCTGCACGGCAGACGGTGGTGGGCAGGGCCATCAGGAGCTGGATGAAGAGTCCAGATGCTTCCAGGGACTTGAGCAGCTCAAAGAGAACCGTGTGGTTGATGGTAGGAATCATGTTGCCTACGGAGAAGAATATGTCTTCCTGCCACCGAGCTTCCGTGTCAGAGGGGGTGACGGGACAGGGCTGAAGAACCTTGGCCCAGATGATGATCAGAGCTTTCTTCTTCCACGCAAAGGGCTGGGAGTGTGCTGTGGCCGAGGAGATCTCCCTCAAGGCCTCCACGATGGGCCGCCCAACGTGTTCCCAGTCAGACTTGGTCAATTCTGCCAACGCTTTGGGGCGGAATAGCTGCTCGGCCAGCAAGAAGCCCCCGTGCAGAATAGTCATTTCCTCACAGATGTTCAAAGGCCCTGCAGAGAGAGAAGCTGAGTGAGAGCGGGGGCAGTGAGAATGCCTCAAAGTAGTGAGCGCGGGTGGGAGGGAGGGAGGACAGTGGGCTGGCTGTGGCTAGCAGGGTTGGAGGGATGCTAAAGGTCTTCAGTGACACATGAGAGAGAGGCGAACAGGGAAGGTTTTAAGAGTGATTGCACTACGGCGCCGTGGCTCAGCAGGCTAATCCTCCGCCTTGCGGCGCCGGCACACCGGGTTCTAGTCCCGGTCAGGGAGCCGGATTCTGTCCTGGTTGCCCCTCTTCCACGCCAGCTCTCTGCTGTGGCCTGGGAGTGCAGTGGAGGATGGCCCAGGTGCTTGGGCCCTGCACCCCATGGGAGACCAGGAGAAGCACCTGGCTCCTGCCTTCGGATCAGCGCGGCGGCCATTGGAGGGTGAACCAAAGGCAAAAGGAAGACCTTTCTCTCTCTCACTGTCCACTCTGTCAAAAAAAAAAAAAAAAAAAAAGAGTGCCTGCACAGGGGCAGTATCCTCTGGCCATGGAAACCAGAGTTGAAGCTCAGGAGGAAAGATCAGCCCAGAAATGTTATTCGAGGGGGTGTCTGTCCAGAGGAGAGCACTGGAACCAAGGCAGTGCATGAGCTCAGCACAAGTGTGGGAAAAGGAGCAGCTGGACTGTGAGGCTAGACCCTCCAGCACAGGGCTTGGCGAGCAGGGCTCAGACACAGAGACTACACAGGCCCACCACGTCTGATTAGAGGACATGCCTGCTGAGCTCGGTCATGATCAAGACACGAGAAAGGCCACGGCCCAGGAGCAAGCAGACCGGCCCCGCCCCTTTCTCTTGCAGCCTTGCGAACAGGCTGCAACCACTCTTCTGCCTGCCAGGGAAACAGTTTCTCCCATGGCTTTTTCCAGTCAGGGAAGACGCGCTACTTCAGACTTGGCTCTGTGGCGCAAACCAGGTGGTTGACAGAAAACATACAGCATTAGAGTAAGAAAAGCAATGTTTCCCCTTCAGCGGGCCATGAATTGACAAACTTATTAAGGCAGGCATCTCGGGTTTAAATCCTGGCTCAGAGCAATGTGATCTTGGACTGATTACTTCTTTGAGCCTGCCTTCCAAATACGGGAGCACAATATAGATGTCATGTTATAGCTGTGAAAATCCAATGATTCAAGCACTAGCCAGCCCTTGGCAACGGGCTGGTGCTGCTACTTCCTGATACCATCTCCCAGGGATGCGTATGGATTATAAGATACAACCACACGAAGCACTGGGCTAATTAAATGCTCCAATGAATGGTTTCTCCACACATTTCCACTGTCATGGGGGCCAGAGTGTGGTCACTATTCTGTGCTTCCCCGGCTCAGAAACATGAAAGGACACGGGTCTTTATCAGGTCCGTTACTTTGGGCCCAGGAACTAAATTCAGAGTGCAAACACTGCTCACTGTCCAGCACTGACTCCGCCCCTTCCCAGGACCCAGAGATGCAAGCCCTTGCACAGTCCCCCAAGCCCCAAGAGCACCTCTTCACCATTTCACAGGGCAGACGCCAGCAGAGAAGATGCTGAACGGGCAACACTGAATCACACAGCCCTGCAAGGGCGGCGGAAGGCCCAGGGAGGAGGCTCCCCCGCGCCTAGGCAGAACCCCCCCTTCAGCGGAGGAGCTGAAGGATCTGCCTGGGGCAATGGCTCTTCTCTCCAGCCACAGCTCTCCCACAGCCCCAAGTATGCTCCCTACTGAACTTATTCTGGCCAGCACCGGGCCAGGCTGAAGACAGCAGCTTCATCTGGGTCTCCTCCCACTGCTCTTCCCAGGCCATCCGTCCGGAGCTGGACTGAAAGTGCAGCAGCTGGGACATGAACTGGTGTGGCAGGCAGTGGCTCTGCCTGCTACGCCAAAATGCTGGCTCCTCACCTGTGACTCTTCTCGGCGCGCTGCGCCGATCCGAAGCCAGGAGCCAAGTGCTTCCTCCTGGTCTCCCATGCGGGTGCAGGGCCCAAGCACTTGGGCCATCCTCCGCTGCCCTCCTGGGCCACAGCAGAGAGCTGGACTGGAAGAGGAGCAACCAGGACAGAACTGGTGCCCCAACTGGACTAGAATCCGGGGTGCCGGCACCACAGGCAGAGGATTAGCCTAGTGAGCCGCGGCGCTGGCCAACCTGTGCCTCTTCTCAGTGTAATTTTATCGCACTATCAGCTCAGCAGAGCAGATGCATGGTCCCCAACAGACACAGGAATGTCCAAGTGCTCCCTGAACAAGCCCCAGGAACAGTTAGCAACTGGGAAAAACCCAAGTGTTTTATCACTAATGGTTAACTGGTGCCCACTTCTGATGTTTGCTAAGTGCCTGTGCACACCAGGCACCGTGCTAGCTGGTACACATGGAAGGTCTCTTTTAATCTTCAAAATAACCTTCTGAGGACTATTCCTGTTTTAGAGGTTGATGTTCAGGTATTTTGCTCAGGGTGTCACCACCACAAAGCAGTGGCACTGTGACTTACTGGTTTGAGGCCCTCCCCACCATGCACCTGGGAAAGCAGCGTAAGATGGGCAAGTCCTTTGGCCCCTGCACTCACGTGGGAGACCTGGAAGAAGCTTCCGGCTTCAGCCTAGCTCAGCCCCAGCCGTTGCCGCCATTTGGGGAGTGAATCAGTGAATGGACGATCTCTCTCTGTTTCTCCCTAACTCTGCCTTTCAAATAAATAATTTTTTTTTTTGACAGGCAGAGTTAGACAGTGAGAGAGAGAGAGAAAAAGGTCTTCCTTTTTCCGTTGGTTCACCCCCAAAATGGCCGCTATGGCCGCCGTGCTGCGTCAATCTGAAGCCAGGAGCCAGGTGCTTCTCCTGGTTTCCCATGCAGGTGCAGGGCCCAAGGACCTGGGCCATCCTCCACTGCACTCCCGGGCTACTGCAAAGAGCTGGACTGGAAGAGGGGCAACCAGGACAGAATCCAGCGCCCCGACCGGGACTAGAACCCAGGGTGCCGGCGTCACAGGCAGAAGATTAGCCTAGTGAGCCACGGCGCCAGCCTCAAATAAATAAATCTTAAAAAAAAAAAAAAAAAAAAAAAATTCGCCACAGCTGCAGGGATGCCCCTTCCCGATCTGTCATTCCACCACCACGAGGAGCTGGCTGGGGGACAGACTCAAACCCTGCTCCACACCATACTACTATCAGCGTTTCTCAAGCTGCCTCCCGGGCTCAACCCGAGTTTAAGGGCATATCCCACAGGTGGGGACACTTGGCAGGAGCCACTGACTTCTATTAGGTCCTCCCTCCCTTTTTTCCAGACCTTGCCAGGATTCTCAACCAACAGGCAGGCAGGTTCAAAGAGCACCATATTCCAAGTGGGACACCCACGTCCCAGACCCAAGTGCCCGGGTTCGAATCCCGGCTCCGCTTCCTATCCGGCTTCCGGACCATGTACACCGGGGGAGGCAACAGGTGATGGCTCAAGCACTTGGGTGCCTGCACCCGAGTGGGAGACCTGGACTGAGTGCCAGGGCATCTGGGCACTGAGCCAGCGGATCCCAGATCAGAAGAAAGCAGGGCTTCCGCAGCCGCGCGCCTCCGCCCAGGCCCCGCGGCAGGGGCACTCCGCACCCGGCGATCCCAAAGTTTACTCCCGGCCACTCGGCGAGGGCGGCGCGGTGTCGTCACGCCCACGTTATCCGGCAGGGAACGCCAGTGGGTGAGCAACTCGCTGAGCAACTCCGCGGACGCTCAGCTAGCGAGGCCGGCATGGCCCCCTGCACGTGCGCTAAGCCCGTCGCTCCCGGGACACCTCGCTTTACCGCCGCTCCGCTTCTCACGTACGACGCGGGACCGGAGGGCGCAGGAGGCCGGCTCAGGAGCGCTGCGCCCGGCCTCGCCGCCGCCCTCCCGCTCTAAGGACACCCTGGATCCTCCTCAGCCCCTCCCGACCACGAGGGCCCCAGGAGCCCGAGCCCGAGCCCGCCGGGCGTGCGCGGCGGGAGGCGGCGCGTCGCGGGCCGGCCCGGGGCAGCGTAACCGGGGCACCCACCTAGGTCCATGGCGGCGAAGCGGGAGGTGGCGCGGGGGGCGCCAGGCCGCCAGGAGCGCGGCGCAGGCGCCACCGCACAATGGGCGGCGCGGGGGGCGGCAGGCCCCGCCCACGGCCTCTGCCGCCGCTCTCGCGCCGTTCGCCGCCGACTCCCGCCGCTGCGCGCGCACGCGCGCTCCTCACCAGCGAGCTCGCGGCGCCGTGGCCGCCAAGCCCACAGCGCCCCCTCCCGGCCCGAGGCCTCCCTCCAGCCAGCAGGCAGGTTCCGGGGGCCTTCCTCTCCCGCCGCGTGCTCCGCCGGGCCACCCACCTGGCTTCCTAGGTCCCAGTCGGTGCTGTGCAGGAGCCCCCGGCCTCGTAGTCACCGTCCCACAGGACAGGAGCGCGGGTATGTCCCGCACACAGTTCACCCATACTGATAAAAACATGCACCTGAGGCCGGCGCCTCGGCTCACTTGGCTAATCCTCCACCTGTGGCGCCGGTACCCCAGGTTCTAGTCCCGGCTGCTCCTCTTCCAGTCCAGCTCTCTGCTGTGGCCCGGGAGTGCAGTGGAGGATGGCCCAAGTGCTTGGGCCCTGCACCCCACGGGAGACCAGGAGAAGCACCTGGCTAGGCCAGCTCTCTGCTGTGGCCAGGGAGTGCAGTGGAGGATGGCCCAAGTGCTTGGGCCCTGCACCCCATGGGAGACCAGGAGAAGCACCTGGCTCCTGCCTTCGGATCAGCGCAGCGCCGGCCATAGCGGCCATTTGGGGTGAACCAACGGAAGGAAGACCTTTCTCTCTGTCTCTCCCTCTCTAACTCTGCCTGTCAAAAAACAAAACAAACAAACAAACAAAAAAATCATACACCTGAACAGACACAGTGCCGTCTCCCTTTCCTTTCTAGCCAAGACCTCGTTACTGGCCTCACGTGTTTCTAACTCTTCCCCCCGCAGCTCCTGCGCCGGCTAGGAAGGCCAGAGGGGCCGCGCCTCAGGCATGGCAATGTGCCAGGTAGAGTTCGAGTTGGCGTGCGCGGCCGTGAAGCAGCTGAAGAACCCCATGAGCGATCAGGAGAAGCTGCAGCTGTACAGCCTCTATAAACAGGCCACCCAGGGCGACTGCAACATCCCCGAGCCTCCTACGTCGGAAGTGAAAGCCACGGCCAAGTGGGAGGCGTGGAACAAGAATAAAGGCATGTCCAAGATGGATGCCATGAGGAACTACGTGGCCAAAGTGGAAGAGCTGAAGAAAACTGAGGCTGGCTAGGGAAGCGGCACGGCTCCCCTGGCAGGGAGTGTGCTTCTCCAGTGCCCTGGAGGGGGGCGGGGATGGCTGGGCATCAATAAACCCTTAGACCACATGCCTGCGACTGCTCGTGGAAGGGGGGCTTGGGGCCGAGAAGCCCACTCCCCTGGCTCTCCTCTCGGCATGGGTCTGAGTGCCCGTCCCAGTCTCCCATGCCCAGAACATGGGAGCTGTTTGTCAGGGCTGGGAGGAGACTCACGGCACACGCCTGTCCTGAGATCAGCAACTTGGTCTCTAGAGAGGCTGGGGCCCTAGACCCCTAATTTCTTCAACTGACCAATAACCCAACACTAAGGGAGGGCAACAGGGCTCTGTCTTCCAGGAGCTCCACGGAATACAGCCGGGGAAAGGCAACCTTTCAGCGCCACGCATCACAACACAGCGGTTGAGAATTGGTGGGGTGCGTGGTTTTAAAATCGCAGCCTCTCAAAGTCACCTACCTAGCAGCAACCAAAATTTCTTGAAAGTATTCCATAGCTAACCCTGTAGGGAATGACACGAATGTACCCGTGTATGTGGGATCTGTTGGAGGCACACATGCCAAGCACACACAAGCGCCGGGGCTCAGCGGCTCAGCTTCCAGTCCTCAGCCGCAAGGATCAAAGCACTAAGTGGTATTCTCCATTTTCTCGGGAAAGTCAGGTCTGCGGGGGCTTGAAAAACCACAACTCCTGCAACATGCCCATTCTAAATCTCTATTTAAGCTCAAGGCACATCATAAAGCCAACACATTGCAGGTGGGTAAACAGCATTAACTTCAGTTATGCACGGTTGTAAATTTAAGAAAGGCGTTTTGATATATTAAACTCTAACGTACATAGATGTGTTAGTCATTTATTACTTACACTTAGAAAATTAACAAGCCATTGTCTAAAGACACAGAACCTTATCTGATTATATGCAGCTTGTATACTAACTTCCCCATGTATAGAAAGAAGTAAGAACTGATTCCCCGGGGGGAGGAGCAAATATAACTTAGTTTGCTGTGAAACTCATGACTGCTTCTCAAGAAAGGCAACTCAGGGTCAATGAAAAGTGTGGGGTGCTCCAGGGAAGGGAAGATGGTCTGTGAGGAGGCAGGCTGACTGCCCGCCACGGCGGCACGCCTCCCGCACACGCGAGAACAGGCCGGGACTCGGGGTCACGTCATACACACTTTTTTGCAACTGGTATCCTCCAGGTCTATCCGTTCCCTTCTCCCTCTCTACAGTCTGCGCCTGGCTAGCACTTTCAACTGAGAGACTCAGACTGGTCTAACAGTTTGATTTTGGAAGCCAATTTTCAAAAAACTTTAATAACACACCCAATACAATTCTGTTTGTAGTGACGTTTTTGGTTCTGTTCCAGTGATTAAAGCCAATTTGTCCCTTGAAACTAAACAGAAAACTACAAAAGAATTTTTTTTCAGGCTGAAGAAATCACTTAAGAAATTTTAAGAAATCTAATATGATGTTCTATCTTGGGAGGATTAAAAAAATTATATGAAGAGCATGGCACAGAGCCACCCAACACATGAAATCCCTGCTGCTGTTTCCTCTGGCTGCCCAAAATGTCAGAGCAAGTGAGATGGGGGTGCCAAGCAATTCTTTTGAAACAAGGAACAAAGCTCCTCTAGAACAATCTTCAATGTCAAGATCTGCCAGATCAAGACAAGAGCAGCTTTCCGTCATCAGGAACTCCAGTCCGACCATAACGAGCAACTGACTTGGATTTCTCTGAGCAGTTGTGCTTGTAACTCCTGCATGACTCACAGCTCATCAAAATTCCCTCCATCCCCAACCAAGGGTAGCGTCCCACGCGGCTGCCCCAGGTTGGAAAGTGACTGTCACACCTCTCGCACAGTTACACGTAGAACATGCCATTCCGGTGAAGAGTTTCTCCTCTGCATGGACTAGTCATTGAATTTCATTACTAAAATGCGCCGTAGCTCTGAAAGATTAAAATCCACCTCTATCTTCATCACCAAGGCCCCCCGCCTGCCCAGCGCCTCTTGGGTGCTGGCCAGGAACCACGGCACTTGCGTCACACGATGTCTTCCATTAACCCGAAGCCTTTGGTTTCTTCTGCTTAGCAAACCACTCATCACTTTTATCCGCCGCCATCGCCTACAGAAACAAATGGAATATTTGCTTATTCTAAGTCTGAAAAGCAAAAGACACAGCCCCTGTTACATCTCACTGCGCTATCAGAACTCAAGGATTTAACACAGCTGGAGGAGTGGAGCAGTCTGTGACAGGACTGGGCAATTGCGTGGGGAGACACACCCTGCAGTCAAGGCCTTACAGAGCAGGCACCATGCACACCAGGATGTGGGCTCTTTGGCAGAAGAGAAAGTGCTGTCACTCCTAGCATCTGGATGGATGATGGGCTCTCAGGAATCTTGACGTGCTTGTGAGACTCGGCCCGATACTGGGCTTCACTAAGCTTTTCACTGGGTGCAAAGCAGCTGGGGGGCCGGCGCTGTGGCGTAGTGGGTAAAGCTGCCGCCTGCAGTGCCGCATCCCACATGGGTGCAGGTTCAAGTACCCGCTGCTCCACTTCTGACCCAGTTCCCTGCAAATGTGCCTGGGAAAGCAGTGGAGGATGGCCCAGGCACCCTCGTGGGAGACCCGGAAGAAGCTCCCAGCTTCCGGTTGGCCCAGCTGCAGCCATTGCAGCCATCTGGGGAGTGAACTGGCGGATGGAAGACCTCTCTCTCTGCCTCTGACTCTAACTCTGCCTTTCAAATAAATAAATAAACCTTTAACAATAAATTAAAAAATAAAAAGAACTTTAAAAAAAAAGCAGCTGGATGCTTTAGCGAGCAAGTCCAGCATCATTGCCTCTTGCTAAGGCCCTGAAAAGCCTGATTGACCAAGGCCAGTTCCGTCTGGTGAGCTGTGCACCTCTCCATTCAGGGTGCTGTCTTCAAAACCTTAGCTGTCACATAAGAAAAGCGTTCATTCAGTCAGTCAGGAAGCAGGTATGGAAATCACCTTTTGAAGCAGTGGCGGTTCTGAGGTGCTACACTGGCGCCAGGCAGCAGAGGCCGAGGCCCTGAGTGGTGCACGGAGCAGCTGAGGGCTTGCATGCGGAAACCGCTATTATGCTCGAAGGGACACACACGTGTCTCAAGGCAACTTCTGTGAGACATGAGTGAGGCGGGCGCAGACCCAAAGAAAAGGAGCAACCGATGAGCAGGAGAGAGTGTGAAATACTCCTCTTCCTCACCCAAGTTGCAGGATAATGACTGGCTGAAAATCAGGGGACATTTTTCTCTCCATCTAACTAAATGTAGTCTTTTTTTTTTTGACAGGCAGTGTGGACAGTGAGAGAGAGAGAGAAAGGTCTTCCTTTTGCCATTGGTTCACCCTCCAATGGCCACCGTGGCCGGCGCACCACGCTGATCCGAAGGCAGGAGCCAGGTGCTTCTCCTGGTCTCCCATGGGGTGAAGGGCCCAAGCACTTGGGCCATCCTCCACTGCACTCCCGGGCCACAGCAGAGAGCTGGCCTGGAAGAGGGGCAACCGGGACAGAATCCGGCGCCCTGACCGGGACTAGAACCTGGTGTGCCGGTGCCGCAAGGTGGAGGATTAGCCTATTGAGCTGCGATGCCGGCCTAAATGTAGTCTTTTTAATTTTTTTAAAGATGTGTTTATTTATTTGAGAGGCAGAGTTATAGACAGAGAAAAGGAGAAACAAAGAGAAAGGTCTTCTATCCAGTGATTCACTCCCCAGATGGCCACAACAGCCAGAGCTGGGCCGATCCAAAGCCAGGAGCTGGGAGCTTCTTTTGGGTCTCCCACATGGGTGCAGGGGCCCAAGGACTTGGGCTATCTTCTACTGCTTTCACAGGCCATAAGCAAAGAGCTGGATTGGAAGAGGAGCAGCTGGGACTAGAACCGGCGCCCATATGGATGCCGCCACTGCAGGCGGCAGCTTAGCCAGCTACGGGCCACAGCGCTGGCCCCCTCTTTTTAGACTGAGAAACAGTGAAGCTGAATGTGGCTGACCTGGGCAGTGGGACTCAGAGTATGAGGTGATTTATTATTTTGATAAAAGTTAAAAAGTATTTTAAAAAAGGCTAAAAAATTAAAAATCTCGGCCGGCGCTGCGGCTCAATAGGCTAATCCTCCACCTAGTGGCGCCGGCACACCGGGTTCTAGTCCCAGTTAGGGCGCCAGATTCTGTCCCGGTTGCCCCTCTTCCAGGCCAGCTCTCTGCTGTGGCCCGGGAAGGCAGTGGAGGATGGCCCAAGTGCTTGGGCCCTGCACCCCATGGGAGACCAGGAGAAGCACCTGGCTCCTGGCTTTGGATCAACGTGATGCGCTGGCCGCAGCGGCCATTGGAGAGTGAACCAACGGCAAAAGGAAGACCTTTCTCTCTCTCTCTCTCACTATCCACTCTGCCTGTCAAAAAAAATAAAATAAAATAAAATAAAAATCTCATGAATATGCAGAAGTTCCTTTAGGAGCCATAAAAAGTGAAGGAAACGAGCACCTAACTGGTTTGGGGAACCCAAGAAAGCATCTGAGGTTTTTTTTTTTTTTTTGTAGTTGCAATTTTTTTTAAAGATTATTTATTTATTTGAAGAGGGAGAAAAAAAGAGAGAAAGATCTTCCATCCGTTGGTTCACTCCCCAAATGGCCACAACAACTGGGTCTGGGCCAGGCCGAAAGTCAGGAGCTTCTTCCGGGCCTCCCACATGGGTGCAGGGGTCCAAGCTCTTGGGCCATCTGCTGCTGCTTTCCCAGGCCACAGCAGAGCAGGATGGGAAGTGGGGCGGCTGGGTCTCAAACCAGCTCCCAGATGGCTTTACCAGCTACGCCGCGACACCAGCCCCAGCATCTGAGTTTTGAGGGATAAGCTGAAGAAGAAGGGAGAAGGAGAAACCCTTTGGGTGGAGACGAGATGTTCTACTTGGTTCATGTGAAAAGCTCAGAGAACTGACAGGCCAGCAGGGTCCTCAGGGAAGTCAGAGCAGGGAAGGGCTGGCCCTCTGCCAGCGGACTGGAGCATTTCCGGGATGCCGTACCTAGTGGAAGATGAGGCACTTTTCCCACTTTGATTTCTGTTTAGGAAATAAACGCTAGCCGCAGGAAAGCTGAGAAGGGCTAAGCCACTCTCCTGTGACTATCAACAGGCACTGGGTGCCAGGCAAGGCTCTCCTCTCTACCCTGGACAGCACCTTGTGTCTGGGAGTCCACTTGTCCAAGCTAGAATCCTCCAAGACAGTTTTGTTGTTGTTTTTAGCATTTAAGATACTTTTTATTTTTTAAGACTTATTTATTGGGGCTGGCACCATAATGTACTGGGTAAAAGCTGTCGCCTGCAGCACCAGCATCCCATATGGATACCAGTTCAAGACCTGGCTGCTCTACTTTCAATCCAGCTCCCTGCTAATGGCCTGAGAAAGCAGTAGAAGATGGCCCAAGGGCCTGTGGCCCTGCACCCACGTGGGAGACCCAGAAGTACTTAAGAATTTAAGAGTAACATGATATGACATCTGGGATTTGCCTTAGTACTTCCCAATCCAAAACCAGAAGAAAATTTGGGGTGGGGTTGGTGGGAGGAAATGATTGACAGATGGCATCACACAGGGATTTGTTGTGCTCTCTCTGGGTATACTGGAATCTTTAATCATGAAATATTAAAAAAAAAACAAAACCTGTCAGGGCCACCGCTGTGGCGTAGCAGGTAAGGTTGTCGCCTACAGTGCCAGCATCCCATATGGGCACTAGTTCAAGTCCCAGCTATTCCAGCTCTCTGCTATGTCCTGGGAAAGCAGTAGAAGATGGCCCAAGTGCTTCAGCTCCTGGATCCTCATGGGATAACCAGAAGGAGCTCCTGGCTTTGGATCGGCATTACTCCAGCCATTGCGGCCATCTGGGGAGTGAACCAGCAGATGGAAGACCCCTCTCTCTCTCTCTCACCCTCTGCCTCTCTGTAACTCCATCTTTCAAATAAATAAATAAATCTTTAAAAAAAAAAAAAAAACCTGTCATGGGAAAACATGGACAAAGGGTTTGAACATATAATTCACAAAACATAAATAACCTATGAATAGGTGTTCCACAGCTTTTAAACAGGACAGGACAAATTAAAATCACATTGGGGAGGCCGGTGCCATGGCTCACTTGGCTAATTCTCTGCCTGTGGTGCTGGCACCCTGGGTTCTAGTCCCGGTTGGGGTGCCGGATTCTGTCCTGGTTGCCCCTCTTCCAGTCCAGCTCTCTGCTGTGGCCCAGGAAGGCAGTGAAGGATGGCCCAGGTCCTTGGGCCCTGCACCCGCATGGGAGACCAGGAGGAAGCACCTGGCTCCTGGCTTTGGATCAGCGCAGCGCGCTGGCTGCAACACACTGGCCGTAGCGGTCACTTAGGGGATGAACCAACGGAAAAAGGAAGACCTTTCTCTCTGTCTCTCTCACTGTCTGACTCTGCCTGTCCAAAAAAAAAAAAAAAAAAAATCACATTGGGGAACCATTTGAACATGTGCTAGAATGGCTGAAAAAAATCAGCAAAATACTGAATATTGGCGATGAAGTGGAGGAATGGAAACCCTCATACACATACAGTGAATGCCCGGATGACTTTGGACACCGGGAACTTTCTTTTTATGAGGAATAAAGTCTCTTCTGGGCTCAGGTCAGGAGTCATGGGTCATGAGGACTTCTGTGAACCTGAATTTCCTTCTCCACATTCTTTCTGGCCTGTTTCACAGCCTTGTAGCCTCATGTCCTGTTCTTTCTTTTGGCAATAGATCTTGGCCTTCTCCTACCCCAGGTAGGCAAACTTTCTTATGGGCTTCAGGTGTGCAACCCTGAAGACCATGGGACCCGCCACCTGGTTTCTTGTCAGAGGAAGGCGACATCCCATCGGACACCCAGACGTGCTCCAGGACAGGCTGGCCTCGCTCGGCCCGAAGGGCAGCATGCAGTGGCTGTAGGCCCAGCAGTGGCAGGGGCATGGGATGGGTTGGTGTTCATTTGTCTTTGGAGGAAGCCCTGTCACTTTAACTTGTTTCTGTAGAAACTGCACGGAATGCAGGATATGATCAGTACCTTCTGGCCCAGTAGTAGCTGCATGGCCACAATGGCCATCAGGTGTGTAAGAGATGGCCTTGGCCATCCAGCACCAGGACCTGCCCTGCTACCATCTTCAGCAGCTCCCTGTGCCATTCAGCATCTTCTTATGCAGAAAAAGCAACCTGGGCCAGCGCTGTGGTGTGGCAGTGAAGTGAGCGCCTGCAGAGCCGGCATCTGCCTGGGAGAGCAGTGTCGACTGGCCTGAGTGCTTGAGCCCCTGCACCCACTTGGGAAACCCGGGGCAGGCTCCTGGCTCCTGGTTTTGGTCTGGCCCAGCTCCGGCCATGGTGGCCATTTGGGGAGTGAAGCAGTGGACAGAGATCTCTCTCTCTCTCTCTCTGTCTCTCCCTCTCTCTGTAGCTCTGCCTTTTGAATACAATAAATCAATCTTTGAAAAAAAAAAAAAAAAGAATAAGCAATTTGACTCCTAGATATATGCCCAGGAGAAACAAAAGAGATATCTAGAAGAAGGTTCAAGCAAGAATATCCACAGCTCTCTTCCTTATAACATATAAAAATATGGAAACAACCCCAGTGTCCCACCTCAGAGGAATGGGTGAACACATTTTTATGTTCATAAAATTAAATAACATTGAACAATAAAAGAGAACAAACTACAAAATATTCGATTACATCAAAGAATCTCAGCAATGTTCTGCTGGAGCCAGGCACAAACAAGAACCTACTGAATGACTGTTTGTATGAAGTCCAAGAGCAAACAAAACCAACCCACAGTGGCAGGACTCCGAACAGTACTGCCTCTGGGAGGTGAGGGCACAAACCAGCTGAAAATGGCCAGGAGGGAACTCGCTGCAGGGAGGACAATGGTGTGCACTGAGTTTCAAGCAGTGGTTCTATGACAAAACACACCACGTTCTGCAGAAAGGTATCTCGTCATCAACAACAAATACTCATCTGGGGCTCAGAGAGGATTCAGGAACTGGAAGTGAGCAAGTCAGAGAATGGCTGATGGCGGAAGTTCATAGCAGAGGTAACCAGAGTAGCAGGTGACCTCCCTTCAGAGTAGAATGTAGAATAAGAGACAGCCAAGGGCTGTGGTGCAGTAGGCTAAGCCTCCATCTGCAGTGCAGGCATCCCATATGGGCGCCAGTTCGTGTCCCAGCCGCTCCACTCTGATCCAGCTCTCTGCTATGGCCTGGGAAAGCAGAGGAAGATGGCTCAAGAGCTTCGGCCCCTGCACCCACGTGGGAGAGCTGGAAGAAGCTCCTGGCTCCTGGCTTCAGCTGCAGCAGTTACAGCCATCTGGGAAGTGAACCAGCGGATGGATGGAAGACCTTTCTCTCTGCCTCTCCCTCTCTCTGTCTGTAACTCTACATCTCAGATAAACAAATAAAATCTTAAAAATAAAAAAATAAAAAAAAAAAGAGGCAGACAGCCAAGGGGGGACTGTGGGTAAAAGCTGCCCTGGGAAACGACCCAGGAAGGGGTGCCCGGGACTAGAGAAGCGAGCAGAGGCACGAAGGGGGCTCACAGGAGGGGGCCATCGGCCGGCAGTGGTGTGCAAGGGCGAGGAGGAGAGCAGAGCAGATTTGCCAACTGACAGGCTGCTTGGTTTCTCTTTCCCTTCATGATGACATTTATAAAGGCTGTATTTTCTAGATGTTTCCTGTTTTAATTAACACTAATTGAGTCTCTGCTATTATGTCAGCAGTCTGGCAGGCTTTCTGTAAACTACACAACAATCCTATAGGGTGGACACTCTCACTGCCTCAAAGTTTCAGATAAAGAGGCTGAAGTTTAGAGTTTAATTGCTTACGGCCAGTCATGTAGATATTAAGTGATAAAACTAGGGTAGACTGATTCATTCCTTTAATCATTCAACAGAACACAGAGTATCTATCACTTGCCAGGTATGTGCTAGGTAGGAGGTGGGGAACCTTTTTATTGCCAAGGAACCAGCAAGTGCAGGCCAGACAAAATTATCAACTTAATTAGACTTATTTATCAACTGAATTTATCAACTTCATTATCAACTTAATTAGACTGCAATGCATTTACTGAATTTCGAGCCCCACCTGCGGTTGCCTTGGCAGGGCCAGCCCAGATGATTTCGCAGGCCAGACGTTCCCCGCCCTGCGCTAGGGGCTGGGATACAGAAAGGATCGCTGCCTGGAGTGCCTGATAACACAATGGCTGCTGGGCGGCCAGTGATGAGTGAACAAGAGCACGTAGCTGAGTGATGAAAGCCGTGTAGAATGCAGAGCGAAGTGTAAACGGGAGGTGGGAAGTAGGGACTGCGTAGACACACTGTTGAAGAAGAAACCTGGAGCAGACGTGTGGCACCATGGTTAAGGGCCACATCAGAGGGCCTGGCTTCCAGCCCCGGCTCTGCTCCTGACTCTAGCTCCCTGCTCTTCTGCACCCTGGGAGGCAGCGGCGCGGCTCAGACAGTTGGATTCCTGCCCCCCGACATGGGAGACCCGGACTGAGTCCCAGACTCTTGGCTTCAGTCTGCCTCAGCCCCAGATGTTGCGGGCATTTGGGCAGTGACCCAGAGGATCAGAGAGCTCTGTCTCTGCCTTTTAAATAAACAAATCTAGCCGTGAAGAAATCTGGAGCAAGGACAGAGGATGACTAGAAGGAGCTGCTGGGGCTTACTAGGATGCGGGCAAGAACACTTCACCAGGCGGGCAGAGATGGGGTGGAAGGACGGAGGAGAGGTCACCGGAAGAGCAAAGGCAGGGTGAAGGCTTGGTTTCCATGCTTTTCCATGCAGTGAGCAGAATAATGATACAAACAGGAGCAGTGGTTCCCCAGAGCAGCCTGAGGCCGTGGGAAGCACAAATGCTGAGCCCAGAGATGACATGGAAGCAGCAACGAAGACACAGGTCCCACTACAAAAGGACACGGTTCTCTGGCCCTTCCCATACCCATGTAGTGCTGTCCCCACCGAGGCCTAATGAGACTCACGTCATCCAACAACTTGCTTCCTTCCGGATCCACCTTAGAAAGTTCTCGAAATGCTTCATCCCCGACAAAGCAAATTTCATGTCCATCCTGCAACAGTAAAGAGGAGAGCAGTTTGTCAGAAAGACGTTGCTGGGGAAAGCACTGGCACAGCTGTCACTTTCCTAAGTAATACTCACAGGGTCGGCCAGAATGACCACGTGCACGGTTGCTTTTCCTGGAGTATCCAGACTCACCAGGGGAGTCAGAATCTTCTGGTTCTCCCTTCTCATCAAGTCTTCTAAGTCGGGCAACTTGAGGACAACAAAAAGGCACAGTGAGCAAGGAGTCACGCACTACTTTGATGGCGTGGTCCTCATTAGCTGTAGAGTAGCAGCACGTCAATTAGAAAGAAACAAAGCACCACAGGGGTTCTTGAACCAACTGTTGAACTTGATACCAAAGCCACCATCACAGTGAGCCTAAAGAAGGGAAGGCCGGAGTCAGTGCTGTGGCATAGTGGCCTAAGCCTCCGCCTACAGTGCCAGCATTGCATGTGAGCGCCAGTTTGAGTCCTGGCTGCTCCTCTTCTGATCCAGCTCTCTGCTATGGCCTGGGAAAGCAGCGGAAGATGGCCCAAATGTTTGGGCCCCTGCACCCATGTGGGGAGCCCTGAAAGAAGCTCCTGGCTTTGGATGGGCTTGGCTCCAGCCATTGCAGCCATTTGGGGAGTGAACCACCGGATGGAAGACCTCTCTCTGTCTCAACCTTTCTCTGTCTGCAACTCTACCTCTTAAATAAATAAATAAAATCTTTCCAAAAAAAAAAAGAGGGGAAGGCCAGGCTTCGTGGCAGGGTTGAAAGAGCCAGTCACAAAGCGTAAGCCCAAGATCTGCTATCAAATATTACCTCTTTTTTGGGGCAAGAAAAGGCAATTCTTCCAAAAGCTGCTGCATGATCAACTGTACCCTTGATGCCCTGTAGCTCCAGCTTACACTGAAAAAGAGTTGAAGTGGGTTGATTTTGGAAACAGTTATATGCACATATGGTAGAAACTTCAAATGGTACTAAAGGGATAAAGTAAAGCTAGGTCTCCCTTCTCCCCCACCCCAAAGGCCCTGCTAAGTGCACACATGCATCTTTTTCTTATACTCATATGGTAGCACAATTCACGAAGTATTCTGTTCCTTGTTTTTCTTTACTTAATGTTATCAGTACATAAAGACTTGCCCCAGTGTTTTTCACAGCTACATAGTAATCTATTCTATGACTGAATGCAAATTATAGACATTCCTGTAAGCCACAGGCCCCTGGGGTTCTTATCTTTCAGTGTTACAAAGCTGTGACAGATAACCTTGTACTTGCTCTTTTGTGTGTGCAAGTTCATCCTAGGAGGATTGCTGGAGCAAAGTACAAGGACTAAACAGTACTCAAATGCTAAGTTATCTAGAAAAAGAGCAGATAGGGGCCCAGTGGTTAAGAGGCTCAATGCTCAGGTCCCAACAGGAGTCCCGGGCTCTGATACCCAGTTCCACTAATGATCCAGCTTCCTGATAACGTGGACTTGGGAAAAGCAGGTAAGCAAAAGCTCAAGTAATTGGGTTCCTGCCACCCATGTGGGAAACCTGGATTGAGTTCCTGGCTCCCAGTTTCAGCCCCCGTCACTGCGGGCATTTAGGGAATGAACAAGCAGACGCCAGTTCTTTCTCTGTCTCAAAAAAAAATTAAATTAAATCTTGTCTACATCTCTTCTGACTAAGCAATTCCACTTCTGAAAAGCTATCTGTGTGGTGAGGTTATCACTAATTTCCTTTCTCTGTTTGTATAAATATTGAATCACTATGAAGAAACTATGGGAGCAATCTTCATGTTAACCTCATTCATAAGCCAAGTCCAAAGTAAGAGGTTTGTCATTTCTCCCCAAGATTGCTCACCTGGTTATCTGCATAGCCCAGCAAGGCCCTCTGCTTCTCTTCATCCTTTTCGTAAATTTTCATTCCCAGTAGATTAGACCAGTAGTTCAAGGACGTCTGAAGATCAGACACGGCTAGAGTTACTTTCACTACAGAATCTGCAGGGGAAGAAACGGCAGGCTTAAGTAGGTGAGTTCAGTGCCACAGAGTCGAAGGGCAAAACTGGCCCGAGTGGAAACAGAGATGTGGTTCACAGTTTAGGACGGAAGGGCTCATTATTCAATAAATGGCACTATGATAACTAGTACATCATTTGGTGGGGAAAAGCTACAGGTTTGAACTAACTCGCAAAACATATTTCTGATAGGTTAAAGAATGAAACCAGGGCCAGCACTGTGGAGCAGCAGGTTAAGGCACCACCTTAGAGGCCGGCATCCCATATGGGCACCGGCTCAAGTCCCAGCTGCTCCACTTCTGATCCAGTTCCCTGCTAATGTGCCTGGGAAAGCAGAAGATGGTCCAACTCTTTGGACCCCTGCGCCCACGTGGGAGACCTGGAAGAAGCTCCTGGCTCCTAGCTTCAGCTCGGTGCAGCTCTGGCCATTGCAGCCAACTGGAGAGTGAACCAGTGGATGGAAGACCTCTCTCTCTCTCTGCCTCTCTTTCTCTCTCTGTGTAACTACGACTTTCAAATAAATAAATAAATCTTTTAAAAAATTAAACAAAGCAGGAGAAAAATTTGAAATATTGTTACTTTTTGTAACAAAAAATTTTAAATCACCTTTAAACATTAACAGGAAAAAGACAAACATCAAAGAAAAATAGGCAAAAGGCACAAAACAGTAATCCATAAAGGAAGGGATTAGAATGGTCAACGAACGTATGAAAAGACATAAAACCAAAGACACTGGAAAGCATATAAAATATTTTGTTATCTAAGGGGCAAATTGTTTTCAAAGTCAGCACATTGCTGACTTGTTCAAACAGCCTGAGCACACTGCTTGCTTTGACAACATAAATTCTAACATTTAAAAACAAGTTAGCGCAGGGGTAAAACTCACAATTATCACGCACGTGTGAGTTAGTGCATTCCTGGGCAATAATTTGACAGAATGCATCAAAAGCTTTAAAAACGTCCATTCTCAGCAACTCAAAATGTAACTATGGATGTAAGAAGGGCTTTCATCGCCAGACAGTCCTCACAGAGCTGCTGGGAACAGCACTGGCACAGCACAGCCAGCCAACACCAGCGCTGTAGCACCATGCAATTCCTACAGCGGAATGTGAAGAGACAGACCGTTCTCTCCACACATTTGAGTAAAAGATTAGGGAGATAAACAAAACTACTAACTGCAGTCATGTCTGAATTTAAAGGTACTGTTTTCTTTTTTCTGCCTTTTGCTTCTGCTCATCTAAGAAAATAATTTTATTTTGTACAAAGAATACAAATTAGAACACCTGACATCACTGCAAACTTTTGTACTGCACAGAGACTTTCTAAGGAGCTGTTCCACGTCTACATCTGACTATGAAAAATTCAAAATATGTTTCTCGGGTTTTCTCTGCCTTAATCCTGTTTGCTAGGACAGCAGCACCATGACCAAGGCAAGGTGCTCCTCACAGTGTCCCTGGCTGAGACTGGAATTCAGTTTTCCCACTCATATCTTTGTTTGTTTGTTTGTTTAAAGATTTATTTATTTATTTGAAAGTCAGAGTTACACAGAGAGAAGGAGAGGCAGAGAGAGAGAGAGAGAAAGAGAGAGGTCTTCCATCTACTGGTTCACTCCCCAATTGGCCACAACGGCTGGAGCTGTACCGATCTGAAGCCAGGAGCCAGAAGCCTCCTCTGGGCCTCCCATGCAAGTGCAGGGGCCCAAGCACTTGGAACATCTTCTACTGCTTTCCAAGCCACAGCAGAGAGCTGGATCAGAAGTGGAGCAGCAGGACTTGAACCGGCACCCATATGGAATGCCAGCATTGCAGGAAGTAGCTTTATCTGCTACGCCACAGTGTCACCCCCCCAACCCTCCCCCCATTTCAAAATCAACAAATCCCAGTGGAACTGGAGCCTGGAGGGATGCAGGGACAGGAATGGGAACAGGCGGGTAGAACCACATAGCAGGGAGTGATTCCAGGGGACAGAGGCCAGCGGGGCTAACAGAGTCCACTACATCACTGACCAGAAGCTAAGGCCTGAAAAGTGCGGCCATTTCACATTACAGCAACATGCCAGGACGGTCGTGCAGGTGGGAACGCTTGGGCCCAGAGGTGTTTCAGACTCTGGAGTTCTTCTCATTTCAGACCATTTGCATAGACCTGACTGGTTAAGCACTGCTGATCTGAAAATCTGAAACCAAAATGCTTTCTGAGTGCTGACACTTAAAAAGGTTCAAATTCTAGAGCAGTTTGGATTTCCGATTTTCAGGCTAGGGATGTGCAATTGATACTGAAAGACCACGTAAGCCTGGAGAAGAAGACACAGTGGAGTTGGCTATAGGAGTTAGGGTCAGTACATAAAACAATCACCGGCAGCAAAAATAACAACAAATCCCTTCCGCTGCCGGGGAAGTACAGGACCGCCAGCTCTCTGCAAGTCCCACTCGGCCACTCCGCCTCCCAGGCTGGGAACTGGTCTGTGTTCTGCTGAGTGCCGGATGAGAAACAAGTCCAAGTGAACATGAACGTCAGAGCCAGCAGGAGGGCACTCGGCTCCCGGGGCAGACACGCGGGGGAAAACACAAATGATCCGGCTGCCATCGCAAGCCCAGAGGGAGACGGGAAGCAGAACCACCTGGGTCCATCCCCAGCACTCCCCCACCCCAACCTTTGTTTTGCTTTTGTTTTTGATTCACAGACTACATAGTTGAATTTGCAGAAATTAAATACACACAGCGAGACTGTCCCTGCCACGCGCGACACGCCTTGCCAAGTTTCCTTCCTGCCCCAAGCAGCTGTCGGTGGCGGGCTGCTCATGGCCGTCCCATCCCTGCCTCCCTGCCGGCCAACACTGGAGTCTGGGAACTGACCCGGCTCCAGGAGGTGGCTAACTGGTCTAGGGACAGTTCTACGTCCTGCGCCAGTGGCGGGTACCAAGTCTGACTGGAGGTTGGCCCAGGGGTTAGGCGCCACTTGGGATGACTGCCTCCCCACCAGGGGCCAGCGCTCGGAAGCAGAGTTCTGCCTCGGCTTCCTGCCAGTGTGCACCCACGTGGGAGGTCCAGGTGGAGTTCAGTCCCCGTCTTTGTCCTGCCCCAGTCCCAGGAGTGAACCAGTGGGCAGGAGATCTCTGTCTGCCACTCTGTCTTTTAAATTAACTTAAAAATGAAATTCTCAGAAAAGGGCAACAAGGAACCAGTTGTGAATGTGGGAGCACGCAGCACCGACCGCTGCTGGCACGAGGGGACTAGTCCTAGGAGGAGCAGATGGAGGATAACAGAGTGGACAAAGCAAAATGCTGGGTTCTGGGTGCATTGCTGAGCTGCTCAATCAATGAACCCTGACATCTTTCTTACTATAGTGTCTACCCTCTGAGCTAGAAAATATCCCTGTGGTTCAAACAGCTTGAGCTGGATTTTCTGTAATTTGCAGCTAAAAGAACCTAAATAGATAGGTTACCAGTAGGAGAACAGCAGCAGTCTAGCTCCCTTACAGTTATATACTCAAGTCTTTCTTTTTCTTAATTTTTTACATAATTATTTATTTGAAAGGCAAAGTGCCAGAAAGACCCAGAAAGAGAAGAGACCTTCCATCTGCTGGTTCACTCCCCAAATGCCCATAACATCCGGGGCTGGGCCAGGCTGAAGCCAGGAGCTGGAACTCAATCCAAGTCTCTCCACTGTTGGGGAGGCTGGGCCCAAACAGCTGAGCCATCATCTGCTGCTTCCCAGATGCATTCGTCAGCAAGGAGCTGGATCAGAAGCAGAGCAGCCAGGACTTGAATCAGCGCTCTGCCAGGGGATATGGGAGTTCCAAGCAGCAGCTTAACCTACAGGACCACAATGCCTGTTCCTTTAAAAACATTATTTACTTATTTATTTAGGAGGGAGGGAGAGAGAGAGAGAGAGTTCCTATCCTCTGGTTCACTCTCCAAATGCCAGCAACAGCTAGGGCTAGGCTGGTCCAAAGCTGAGAGCTGGGGACTCCATCCAGTTTCCCTTGTGGGTGGAGTGACCCAAGTACGTGAGCCATTACCGCTGCCCCCAAGGGTGTGCACTAGCAGGAAGCTGGAGTCAGGAGGCAGAGGGAAGGACTGAACTCAGGTCCTCCAATGTGGGGTACATCAGTCTGCACCACTGGGTCAAACGCCTGTGCCCATACCCTGAAGTTCCAACAAGAGAACATAATTCCTAAGAGAACAGTGAAGGCACTGGCTTGGGAAAAGCATGTCATGTGAATAAAGATTCCACAAGGGAAAGAAATCTTGCATCCTCTCTCCTTTCCATCAAAGACGCCTTTAGACAGAGGCGTTATGTCCTAAGATAATTACCTGCCTGAGGCGCACTGTGCTTCTGCAAGTAGAATCTATATCCTCCTGGGGCCTCGGTTTCAAAGACGCCTTCGGCAACTTCCGTGAGCGGCCACTCCAGCTTCTTGGCATTGCTGACGGCCTGGCTGGAAGCCAGTGTGATACCCTGTGAAAACAACATCAGCCCCGTACATAACTGCAACGGATCTCTGATCCAGCACGACGGCGAGCCAAAACCCCACTCTCCTCGGGCCAAATCACCCAAGGCTTCGCTGGCATTGCTGTGTCTTCCCAGTGATTGCACCGAGGGTGCTGGACGCTTTCTCCCACAGGGACAGACCTCCGTCCGCTGTAGGAAGCGTGCTCCGTTTAACACCACAGACAACCTCTTCTGATTTTAAAGCTCAATCCTGAAAAATCTCATTCTTACTTACTTTGGTTTACCAGCTACCTATGAGGTAACTAGTTTTTACTTTCATATTTTAAGTAAAAAAATTTAAACAAACTATCGAAGCATTCTTTGAGTCTAATCAAAGTATCCAATAATGTACACTTATGCCTCTGATAAGGCCAGCTTCGTTTCTAGCTTGGATTACATTTAACAGATGCTCTGTTTCAGTCTTGTTCTGCCATCAACCATTCTGTAGTTAAGAGTAAATTTTCTAAAACACACCCCTTAGGCGGCTGGCATTGTAGTGCAGCAGATTAAGCCACTGCCTGTAATACCAGCAGCCCATATCAGAACACCAGTTTGAGTCCTAGCTGCTCAGCTTCCAATCTAGCTCCCAGCTAATGCACCTAGGAAGACAGAAGATGGTCTGAGTGCTTGGGCCCTACCACGCACTTGGGAGATGGAGTTTCAGACTCCTGGCCCAGGTCCTGCCACGGCAGCCATCTGGGGAGCGAACCAGCAGATGGAAGACCTCTGTCTTTCTGTGGGGCTGGCATTGTGGTATAACAGGTGAAGCCGCTGCCTGCAACATTAGCATCCCATGTGGGTGCAGCTTTGAGTCCTGGATGCTCCACTTCCGATCCAGCTCCCTGCTAACGGGCCTGGGAAAGCAGTGGAAGATAACCCACATGCTTGGGCCCCTGTACCCTCTCTCCTTCCATTAAAGATGGAAGACCCAGGTGAAACTCCAACTCCTGGTTTCAGCCTGGTCCAGCCCAGGCCATTGTGGCCATTTGGGGAGTGAACCAGTGGGTGGAAGATGTCTCTCTGTCTCTCCTTCTCTCTTGGTAGATTTTTCAAATAAATCTTAAAAAAAAAAAAAAAAAAAGAAAGAAAAGAAAGGCTGGCGCCGCAGCTAACTAGGCTAATCCTCCGCCTTGCGGCGCCGGCACACCGGGTTCTAGTCCCGGTCGGGGCGCCGGATTCTGTCCTGGTTGCCCCTCTTCCAGGCCAGCTCTCTGCTGTGGCCCGGGAGTGCAGTGGAGGATGGCCCAAGTACTTGGGCCCTGCACCCCATGGGAGACCAGGAGAAGTACCTGGCTCCTGCCATCGGATCAGCGCGGTGCGCTGGCCGCAGCGCGCCGGCAGCGGCGGCCATTGGAGGGTGAACCAACGGCAAAGGAAGACCTTTCTCTCTGTCTCTCTCTCTCACTGTCCACTCTGCCTGTCAAAAAAACAAAAACAAAACAACAAAACACACACACAAAAAACAAAAAAACCGAAAAAACCTCTCTGTCTCATTCTAACTTTGCCTTTCAAATAAAAATAATGCTTAAAAAGAAATAAAACAGACCACGTCCCATGGTCTATTCTCAAGACAACGGGTGGACTCTGCTTCTCCTCTGCTCAAAACCCCTGATGGTTTTTCGCTTCTCTCAGGGATAGCTCATAATGGCTGCAGAGGCCTGACCCACTGTGAGGCCACCTCCTACCCCTTCCCCGGCCCGCCCCACTCGGGCCGCACGGCTTCACGGCGGGATCCTGAGCACGCCAGGCACTGCGTGAGGGCCCTGCCCACACTGCGCACCCCTGCCCGGGACACTCCTCCCTCAGAGATCCCCACGGCTAGCTCCCTTGCCTCCTTCAAACCTGGGCTCCCATGTCACTTCCTCACTCACACACACCTTCCCCACCTGACCTCAGATTAAAACCAGCCATCTGCCCCGGCCAAAAAGTAGCTGGAACCAAACACTGCTCACCAGGAAGTCATTGCCAAGCTTGTAGCTGCCAATGCCATAATTGTACGTCAGTTCTGCAACAAAATGATCATCCTCAGGCCCAAATCCCACCATGGTTTTACTCCATCTCCCATCGTAAGGCCTAGAAGGGGCAAAGAAAACAAGCCCAGTGACCGCAAGTAAAATCTGCCTCCCGCTTCCCCCAAGGAACTCTCTGGGACACAGGTGGGCGCTCCCTCGGGTCCCACAGACGGTGCTGAGAAGGCTCCTGGGCCGCACTGACAAGCTCCAAAATCACCTATCTGGCACTGACCGGGGGAAAGATCCATTTACCTTTACTTTAAAGCAGGAAGCAGAGTCCCAGACAGCTCCCCGGGGAACCTTCGTTTATTTCCTTGCCTGTCCTTCAATAAGCAGGCAATGGCCTACAGGCCTTGGAACTGTGCGTCTTGCCATGGCTGCTAAGCTTCATGGTAATCGTCAGGCAGTGCTCACCCAGAGCCTGCATTTACTTGTTCACAGTAGGACATAAAATGTATTTAGTCTGTGTCCCTGGCTCCTGTCACCCTTGAAGCTCCGAGTGCCACGGCTGTCTTCGTTACTCAGTCAGTACCTTCACAGAACCCCTGAGTTTATGCTAAGGAACTGATTCAGCCTGAGTCCCTGGGACGGCCTCGGGACAGCCTCAGGACGGGGCTGGTCACCAGAAAGAGCCAGTGAGTGAAGCGGTGGAAAGACCAGCCTCACTCCCCTTCGGCAAGGCGGGGCCCGGCTCTGTTCCTCCGTACGAAAACTCCTGACCAAGGCTGAACGAGTTTCTGGGCGGCCGGCACGGCAGGGGCAGGGAGAGTGGTGTGCCCCCACCATGCCTCGCTCTGTGCGTCTCCGCTATCGGCTGTCTCTCAGTTGTATCCTTTAGAACAAACTGGTCAACAGTAAAGTGTTCTGAATTCTGCGAGACATTTCAGCAAATGATCGCATCCGAAGAGGGCTCTTGAGAATTCCGTTTACAGCTGGCCGATCAGAAACACCCGAGGCTTGGACTTCCGAACTGGGGGTGGTCTTATGGGACTGAGCCCCTGACCTGTGGGACCTGACACTGACTCCAGGAGGACGCAATCAGAACTGAATTACAGGGTAGGATACCCAGCGGTATTCAGAGCGCTGGCGAATTGCTTGGGGTACCCGAAGCACCGTGACACTGTAGAGGAAGGGTACTGCCCAGTGCTCCTGAGTGGCTTTGCTAACTTACTGCCTGTTGAATTTACTCCTGCCTCCTGTTCTCCTGGGGATCAAAGCCCAAAGGAGACTGTCAGACACAGGGGGCATACCCATTGCAGGAAGCTTTGCAGCCTTCTTCAAACTCCTCGTGCCGCAGAACCTGCCAAGGGAGTTCAGACAAACGACACAGCTTTACTTCCACTGCACCCGGCGAGTGTAGCTCAGACAAAAGGTCGAAATACAGGTACTACCATTTGCAGGCTTTATTTGTCCAAGAAGAAGAAGAGAAAGAAGGAAGAAGAAAAGGAAGAAAAAGAGGGGAGGGGAGGGAAGGAGAGGGGAGGAGATTACCTTCATGCTCTTCCTGGGCTACTTGGCCAATTGGTTACGACCCCCCATTCTACATCAGAGTGCCTGGGTTTGATTCCCCACTCCAGCCTCCCTCCAATGCAGTCCCTGGGACGCAGTGGTGGTGAAGCACAGCCCGATAGCCAAGGCCAGGCTACCCAGCAAGCCGTGACATCAACTGAGGCTAGGAAGCAGTGCCGTGCTGTGCAGTGGGGAAGTCCGGCCCCAGCCTCAGAGCAGGCTGGGTCACTGACGATCTGGGCCTCGGCCTCCAGGATGCCGTGGCGGCGAGTGTGTAACTCACTAAAGCAGCTGCCACTGACCTCAGACACGGCAGGCGCCTGTGCAGGAGGCTCTGCGCCAGGTCAAACTCTCAACGCTTGTCCTGAAGACTCAAATCACAGCACGAGACGAGGTCCCTACAGCACCGTTCTCGACACATCGCTGCCCTGTGCGAGGGTGTTGAGCAAGCTCCCTCCTCCCAGCAGCATAAAGTCCAAATTCCTCGGCTCGGTGCTGCTATCAGAAGCAATCCCAGCCTCTAACCCTGATACCCCAGCTCCTCAAGCCCAGCCCTGGCTAAAGGCAGACACGACTGCTGTTTCCCAAACACACCCTATCCTCACATCGCTTATTCAGTGTGTGTAGTGTAACACCTCCCTTACATTTTTTAAAAAACTTGGGTTTGGAATTGTGGCACATGCTGGAATTTCCTATCAAAGTGCTGGTCGGAGTCCCGGCTACTCTGCTTCTGATGTGGTTTCCTGTCAAGGTACCTGGAAAGGCCACGCAAGTTGGCCCAAGTTCTTGGGCCCCTGCCACTGATCCATGTAGGAGACTTCGTGGAGTCCCTGGCTCTTGGCTTTGGCCTGGCCAAGCCCTGGCTGTTGCAGCCATTTGGGGAGTGAGCTAGCAGATGGAAGATCTTGCTCTCTTTCTCTTCCTACCTTTCAAATAAATGAATTAAATAAATCTCTACAAATCTTTTTAAAACTTACTATTTTTTGAAAGGCAGAGAGAGAAAGAGAGAGAGAATCCAATGGTTCACTCCCCAAATGCCCACAGCCAGGGCCAGAGCCAGGAACTCAATCCAGGTCTCCCACGTGGTTAGCCAAAACCCAGTTGCTGTGGCCATCGCGGCTGCTTCCCAGGGTCTGCATTGGTGGGAGTCGGAAATGGAAGCCAGGCACTCTGATGTGGAACTGGGGCGTCTTAACCGTTGGCTATACGCCTGCTCTCCCCCCTCTAACCTTGATCTTGGAAATCCTATCTATTTTTAGAGGTCAATTTGATTATTTCCTGATGACACAGGTTGGGAAACCTGTCCTTTTGTATTTTTATAATAGTAACACATAACACGTATCAGTCAAAATCCGACACAGAGAATCACGCATAAACCTCACAACAACTCCATGATCAAGAAGAAAATACAACAAGAAAGAGCTCTGTAGTGTTCTACTATCACTTAGGCAATTAGGGCTTTCAGTTCTGTTCTATGTACAAACTCAATGGCCACCCCACCCTACCCCAGATCATGAGCTCTAAATGAGGACAGATACCAGGCTCACGTGCACCTTGTTGCAAAAGCTCAGCCTTGCACCCCAAAACAGAGCAGACATCTAAAAACTGACAGTTGGATTCCCAGAAGGCTGTCTGCAACCCTCCTCTTCGGCACGGCCTCGGCACCGCCCAGCGCTCCTGCACCTCTGAAGAGGTCCTCGCTGGCGTGTTCCCTACCTCCAGCTAACCAGGAGCTCCCCGGGAACGTCCACTTAACGTTTTCCAGCCCAAGAACCGTTGCAGAATCGCTTCTCAGGGCTGGAGAGAGTCTGCTATCGGGTACCCGGGAGGAGAATGGATTCCGACCCCCCGCTTCGATGTGGGCTGATGAGAGGACCCGGGGCACTTACGCAGACAGGCTGCGGAGCCCGAAGGGACCACTCAAGCCAGCCCTGTCAGGAGCAAAACCTGAATAACCTGATAACCTACACGGAAAGGCTCCCCTTTCGGAAGAGACGGAGTTCCCGTTCGTTGCAAGAGCGATCTCTTTTTGTCTGCTCACGTCGCTCCGACCAGGCTGCGAGCTCGCCAGCGGCAGAGGCTTAACAAACACTTGCGCAAGAATTTTGTGTGCCAGCCCCCTCCCCCGCCAAAGGCCTCCTAACCCCAAATCGGCAGTTCGCACCGCTTTCCGCGGCGCCCACGGCAAGTCCGGAGCCTAAGCCGGGCTCCCATCCCCACCCCTCGCCCGCTTCCAGTCCAGCACCTTCATCCCCAGGACGTCGCGATAGAAACGCGCCGTCTCGAAGCGGTTTCCCACTTTGAAAACGAAGTGCAGAGCTCGTCGCGATGCCATGACTCCCGCCGCCCACACCGCCGCCGCGCGCCGCCAGCGCCGCCCCGCCCCGCCCGCAAGCCCAGCCTCGCGCCGATGACGCCACCGCGGCGCGCGCTCGTGACGCAGCTGCCGGCGCCGGGAAGATGGCGGCGCTGGCGGGGGTCGCACGGCGGGGCCTGCGGCCCTTGCTGTCGCCGGCGGTCCAGGCTGGCGCCCTGGATGCACGGCGCTGGGTGCGGGCGCTGCGACGGAGCCCCGTGAAAGTGATGTTTCCATCCGGACAGGTGGTGGGACGGAAGCCGCCCCGCACGGCGGCGTCCGAGGCCGGTGTCCAGGAGCAGCGACAGAAACAGCCGCCGCACGTGGCCGCGTCCGGGTCGCTCAGCACTTGGGAAGAGACCGGGCTTCGTTATGATAAGGCTTTGCCTGGAGACCGGAGGCTGAGGTGATGGGCTGCTGGGGCTCCCAGCGGGACCCCGTGGAGGACGTCCCCCCGGGACAGCGCGCTGGGTTTTGTTTTGCGCGGAGTGTCCGTCTTCGGCATGCGTTTGTTGCTGTCCCCGCGAAGCCAGGTGGGTCTCAGAAGCGGGATGCTGACCGTCACTCGTGTCTCTCTGTTCCCGCCCACAGCAGTGTCATGACAATAGTGAAGTCCAGGCCGTTTCGGGAGAAGCAGGGGAAAATCCTGCTGGAAGGTCGCAGGCTGATAGCGGACGCGCTCAAGGCTGGAGCGGCGCCACAAGTTTTCTTCTTCAGCCGTCTGGAATATATAAAGGAGCTGCCGGTCGAGAAGCTTAAAGGGGTCCGCCTCGTTAAGGTGAAATTTGAGGATATCAAGGATTGGTCCGACCTGGTAACGCCGCAAGGAATAATGGGTCAGTGGTGAACCCAGCTTGGGCCTCGGGGTAGAGACCTAGGCTGGCTTGCGCGCTCATACTTGTCTCACGGCAGCACATTTTAGTTAACCCAGACTCAAAATGTAACTGCCCTGTCTTTTCTTAAGACCCGCAGAGAGCTCGAGCTGTCGCCTCGCTGTGCTTTGCCCTCCGTGTCCCAGCGGCAGCGGCAGCCACTGTTCCCCTGCGTCTGTATTTCGGGTCTTCGTCGTCTCCAGGAAGAACTGGCGGTCCCAGAGCTTGCACTGTTAGGTCACTTCTTCAGCTGTCCTAGTAAAAACCGAAGAGAAGGTTTGCAGGCAGGTTCAAGCCCTCCGTTCACAGAGCCCCTGCCAGTGTGTTGGTGGCTGGCCGTTAGCCGCCTTGTTCCAGAAGCATCCCTGAGGAGGGGCGCACTTGATTGCCCTCGTTAGCCCAGTGAACAGAAAAGGCTCTCTTCATTGGATTGGATCTAGCTCGAGGTTTTATGTATCTGTGATGTTCTTGAGCACCTCAGGCTAAATATGGGGGAAGATAAATTCTTTATACCTTGTTGCCGTTGGAGTTCTAGTTAAGATCTGAGGCCCAAATGGCAGCAAGTGTGGAGGCTCCCCTTGGATGGTGAGGGGTAGTTGGAGGAGGGAGAGCTGTCATCCAGCTTGTAAGGCCAGGTCAGGACTTTCCACTGAGCGTGTTTCATAGTCCACGTGCTGGGCTCCCAGATTCCATCCTGAACTCTGCGGCCCCTGGTTGGGAGAGGAGATTTTGGGGTGCTGGTCTCTGAAACCCAGTGAGTCACAGGTATCTGTGCCCCTACACTCAGAACTCTTAGCCCATGGGGTGGAGACTTGGAATAGGAAAGAACCTGGAGTTACACCGAGTGTCCGTGTCTGCTTGCTGCCCCTCTTTAATTCTGCACCGTGTGCGTCAGTGAGAGTCATTCATTTGTGCCACGCTTGTCGCCTTGGGCATGTGTGCTCACAGTGGCCGTCCACCTTGGACTTGTGGCCTTCATCGTGACGACTGTTTTCATCATTTCATGACTTAAAGATTGGTATTACTTAGCTTCTCCGTGTGATGCTGTTGTGGATTTGCGGAGGGTAGAGAGAGAAATGGATAGCACTGCCTGGCCAAGTTGAGGCGCTCTGGAACCCGTGGGCGCAGCGAGGCCTCTGCAAGTAGCATTTCCCCTCACAGTAGATGCTCAAGGAGAAGGGAGGGACATCTGAGGCTCACACCCCACTGAATGGCCTTGTGGCCATCTGTGCAAGAAAACAATGCTCATTTATTTTATATTTATTTGAAAGGCAGACAGAGACAGAGATACATCTGCTGGTCCCCTCCCAAAATGCCTGCACCAGTCAGGCCTGGGCCGTGTCGGAGCCAGGAGCTCAGTCTTGGTCTCCCATGTGAGTGGCAGGAGACTGCAGTAGAGTAGCTGGGACTGAAACCCAGACCTTTAGATCCAGGTATGGCCGTCCCGGTGGCGGTTTAGCTGCTGTGCCAAACCCCTGCCCCGAGTGTGGGATCTTCACGGCTCCCAGATGCCCAGTGCCATTCCATGGCCCCGACAGGTGGTGTAAACTTTTTACCTGCATTGTCTCTTGGAAAAATCCTCAGTTCTTTCTTGTTTCCGTGCAAGTACGGTCATTCTTTCCTAACCCCAGAGACCATTTATTGAAGTAATTATATACAACAAAATGTTCATAAAATTTTCAAGACTATGCAGTGCCTTGTGAGCATTCTTTAAAGGACTGGGATCTTTATTTGAAATCAGTGCATGTGAGGAGCTTTGACTGGTGCCCGACCTAAACAGTGCTGGTTGCTGTCATCGCCTCTGTGGTCAACGCCGTGGCTGGGCAGCGCATCCATGACAGTGACTTCGTTACACCAGGCGTTTCATGTACCCTCGAGCCATTTTTGTTCTAGTATCATAATCAGCCTGTCTTCAATACCTTCCATAAGGAAGGTACAGCGTGTGCTCCTGTGTGAGACGGAGGACAGAGGGACCAACAGGGCAGTGGCTGTGCCCGTTCTAAACCTCTCACGCCTCTGTACTTGAGCGAGAGGCGGGGCCGTGATGCACACCCTCACGGTACTCCCAGCCCTTGCAGAGCGTGTGCTTAGATGGTGCTTCTGAGCCGGGGTCTTTCAGGAGCAGTCATCAGCTGGATGCGTTCACGTTCTTGGACTCAGGTTCTTTTCCTAGGACTGCACTGTTTGAAACGTGACAAAGGACGGACAAGCGTCAAGTCAGTATAGCAGACTGACAGCTGCTTTTGAGTATAGTGAAGCCAAGCCTACAAATAATTTTTCAGAAACCCCAGCCAGTGGGAATGTGGGCAAAAGTTAGAGCACCAAAGCAGATGAGACAGGGGGAAGCATGAATGAGGGAAGGAATCACCCAGAGGGGCTCACAGTCAGTTACCGGGAGCAGGTGTGCAGCCTCCCTGGAAATCAGGGACATGAGGTTAAAATGACGAGTGGGGGAGTGTGTTCTGTGCAGTGGCTGAGTCACCACTTGGGATGCTCGTGCACGTGTCAGAGTGCCTGGTTGAGTCTGGGCTCTTCCACTTCAAATCCACCTTCCTGCCAAGGTGCCTGGGAGCAGCACATGGGCCCCTGCCATTCACATGGGAATCGCATGGTTCCTGGAGTTCCTGGCTCCTGAGGCCATGTAGGGCCTGAACCAGCAGATGGAATATCTCCCTCTCTGTTTCAAATAAAATGAACAGAAATAAATAAAAATAATGAAATGCCTTTTTTTTTTTTTTTCGTTAAAGTGACAGACATTGAAACAACTGCATAGTATATGCTGTGCTGGCATGGCCTTGAGCTGGAAAGCAGCCACCTGTGTGTCCCAGTGTGGACAAGGAGGAACAGGAACGGTCTGTGGGGAGGGCAGTTTGGCTCTGCTTGCTCACAGTGAGAGTGCATGGCCCCATGTGTCCGTGTCACTTACCTGTTCATGCAAGGGAAGTGTTTGCACGTGTGCACAGGGACACTCACCGCAGAGCTTGTGGTGGGGAACTTAAGCAGCGTAACCGTCGGGAGGGGGAGAGCCAGATGAACCCGGCACCTTCACGTGAACCGAGTGCCATGCGGCAGTTGAAAGAATAAGGGGGCTTCAAATGAATGATGTGGTAAGTTCTTTATGACTTGTTACTGAATAAAATAAGCAGGTTACAGAATGATGTGTAAGGTTATTTATTTTTTTTTTAAGATTTATTTGAAAGGCACAGCGTCAGAAAGAAAGCTTTCATCTGCTATTCAGACCCCAAATGGCTACCACCAGCTGGGTCTGCACCAGGTCAGGCCAAAGCCAGGAGCCAGGAACCCCGTCTGGGCCTCCCGTGTGGGTGATGGGGGCCCAAGGACTTGAGCCATTGTCTACCTTCCCAGACACATTAGCAGGAAGCTGGATAGGAAGTGGAGTGGCCAGGACTTGAACCAGCACTCCCATGTGAGAGACTAGCTTCACAAATGGCGTTTTCACCCACTGCCACGATGCCAACCTTGGGTTTTTAAGTTAAAAAAAAATATAAAATGCGCCTCTACAAGCCTTTGGGTGGTTGTACCTGGGTGTAGGCGGATGCACAGAACGAGTTCTGACCGGGGACACTCCAGGATTGAAACAGCTGCGGAGGGGAGCAGCACTAGTAGAGTGTTCATGGGGTTTGAATGTATTTGTGTTCCCTATAATTAAGGATATATGAGAAAATGATAAATGAGAAGTCAGGTTATTCCCAAATGTACCTCCTGTTGTGTTTCCTCAGGGATTTTTGCGAAGCCCGATTACAGCAAGATGACTTATCCAGAGAGTCAGCGTCACCATTCGCTGCCTCTGCTCTTGATTTGTGACAACCTCCGTGACCCTGGGAACCTGGGGACAGTTCTCAGATCTGCTGCTGGGGCAGGCTGCAGCAGGGTCCTGCT